GCCTTTCCCGTCCTGGGAAATAAGGACACAGACACGCAAATTGCCTGACTGTGGCTCCGTGTGCGGTTTTGAATGTGATGTTCAGCCAGATTCAATGATTGTCCTGCTTGCTACATACTTAGTTTTCATCAGACACATACATGCAGCAGGAAGGGGTTAAGCCTTCCTCACCTTACCCTACAGAGCAGGTCACTGCAAGGGGCAGGACAAGGCTGGATACTGTGAGCTGAAGTAAATCCCCTGCAGCTGTTTGGTGTAGCAAGGTGCTGAATGGGTGTGGGGAGAAGGTACTTAAGATGAGTGTTTAGGGCTGGTGGCCTTTGGCTTGACTGGGGTTTAGGGAGAGTGAGAGACAGGTTTTAGTCGTGCTAGAAATCAAGTTTGGCTTCCCAGTGCGTGAACTTGATCTCTGACTTTCATAATGTGGGCTCTGTCTTCTCTCCCCCTTCTTTCTTAGGGCTGTGTGTGACCTATCACCCACTATGGGGGACTATGCACACAGGCATGCATGTGTGTATATGTATATTTATATGTAAAGGAGAGGGCAGGTTAGATTGCTCTGTTGCATCGCAAGGTGTCAGCCTTGCTGTGTGAAGAAGCAACAGAGAACACACAAATTTTCTTAGCAGGTGACTCGTACAGGAGACCATTGTCTTGAAGCTATAAAATACGGAAGCAGAGCTTCTTCGTACTTGAGAATAAGGAGTGCCTGTCAATTATAGCTATATTTTGCTGCACTTCAGTCTATGGTAGAGATGGCCAAGTGCTGACAGTACTCACAACAGAGCCAGAAGGGGCAGGAGCGTTGCTGGGTGCCCACAGGTGTGCTGTGCTGTTCCTGGGTACCAGATAGTTTTGATGCTGTGAGCACCATGGTACAGCTAGAACTGATTGCTGAGGGGCCAGTGTTGTGGCAGCCTGATTCTTCCTGAGCAGCCTTTCAAGTCCTGGCTGGGTTTCTGGGAGCGTGTGTCAGCTCCGACCCTCCTCCTGCTGAAAACTCATCTTCCAATAACGTAAGTGACCATGAAACTGGTCATGCTGCTTCCTCCTGGTGCTGGTGTTTCGGGAGTGTCTCCAGCAGGCATAGCTTCAAGAGCCTGCCCTGATGGGTAGGGCCAGGGCATTACTAAGCAACACTTCTGCTCTCTAGTGCAGCCACTTGGTCATCAGCATGAATAGAAACCTTGTCGAGAGAGGAAAATCAGACGTCAGAGTAATTACCTTTTATTTTTAGCTTGGCTGGGCTTAGAATTCAGGTCAAGGTTTGAGTGTTAGATGTAGGTGTTTTCTGGCTTCGTGCAACACAGATGTTACAAAGGGGAGAGAGAAGTAGAGAGCAAGCAAGATCTCTTGTGTAAACCTCGGGGAAGGTGTAATGTGACAGTAGAGTTTTACTTCTAGCTCTAAACTGGTATTTGATGCTATTTGGCCTTTTTATCCTGTCTTAATCATCTCTGCTGCCTTTGTATTAGTCTCCCTGACACTTCCTGTAGCATTGTGCAGAGACTAGCTCTGGGAGTGTCGTGTGGCCAGAGCAGGATTTGCTTTGGAGTAACTACAACAAGAGATAAATCAGGATTGGGTTTTAGCCCTGAGGTGACTCAGGTTTGATGGCAAGCAGGTCTCTGAGACCCTTGGCTTTCCTCTCTACTCCTTTGCAACTTAGAAATGGCCTCAAGCAAAGGCCTGTTAGTGCAGGCAAGCGAGGATAGATGGTCTTGCGTGAGCTGTAAAACACAAACCTTCAGTGTCAGGTTCTGGTGACCCCAATGGCATTTGTAGGTGTGGGCGCAGTAACATCTCGAAGCCAATAATGTTCTTTTCACATATTCCCTGCTTGTAAATGAATGCTTAAGCAAATAGAGGTAAGACAAGCTGCTTGTTGAACCAAATATTGCCTTGTTTATAAAAATCTCTCTAGCTGACATTTAATAAGCAGACACATAATACCACATGGTCACGTAGCTGGATTGTGACCCAAGTGCTTTTGCATTCTTTTAAAGATCTGTGCTGAGATAAGAATTGGCCCTGTCAATCTGAAACTATACTTGCATTGATAATAAATCTGAGAGTATAATTTTTGCTCAGTCGCTTTCTGAACCAATGGCCACTTCTAGTATCTGCCACTCCTTGAGACAGAGCTATGCAGTTTGATTGCCTGTGTGGAGAGTCAGCTCCTTTTCTAGTCTGAACTATCCCTCTGGTCCTGTGAATCCACTGGTTCACAGAGAAAGGTGGCTGTGCAGCTGAAATGGGCCAAAATGCTCCATGCTGCAAACATCACATTTCCCTATTCGTGCTAAAGCTCTCTTCTTACCAGCACTGACCACAGCAGTATGTTCAAGAAAAAAACCTTATTTCTAGGTTACCTGCAAGATGGGGCTTTCCAAAAATGCATCTTCTGCCTTAGCCCAGAACCTTTCAGGCTGCCAACCCAGAACATTGCTCCAGGCAAAGTGATTGTGAGACTGATCCACTCTGAAGCCAGGAGGTGTTCTGACCAATGCCTGGAGAGCCCTCTTGACTTTCTGTTCTGCAATTCTGCAGGTAGGTGACAGCAGTTTTGGTCCAGAGCAGCAGGAATGAGGGCAGGACTGCTATGTGGAGGAAGCACTGAGCCATGGAGTAGTGCTAGTTGGTTCACTGCCACTGAAATTGCACTTCTCCCACGTGGGCCATTTTAACAGTGTTTCCTTGTTTGTGTTTTTGGAGAGATAAGGAGGGGAGAGGTTTCACACAGAATTGTTTCAGTTACTGGGGAGTCCTCTTTTGTGTGCCTAGTAACCCTGAGATCATCATAGAACCATAGAATTGGTTTGGGTTGGAAGGGACCTGAAAGATCATCTAGTCCCAACCCCCCCTGCCCCGGGCAGGGCCCCCTTCCCCCAGCCCAGGGGGCTCCCAGCCCCGTCCAACCTGGCCTGGAACCCTTCCAGGGAGGGGGCAGCCACAGCTTCTCTGTGTCTCACCACCATCACAGTGAAGAATTTCTTCCTTACATCTAATTGAAATCTACCCTCTTTCATTTTAAACCCATTGCCCCTTGTCCTATCTGTACAGGAAGGATAAAAGGAAGAGCTAAGTGCAAGTGATGACTGTATCATAACACCATTTTTGTGGTCTTGGAGCTGTTTATACCTCAGACCACAGGCTTTGCATCACTTCTGTCTTTTTACAAAGATGCAACCCTTTGTAGGGGGCTCACGCAGCTCACTCGGTGCTAGCAGCAAGCCAGTTTGTTTCTTGTCTCACCAAAGAGAAGAGGTTTGCTCTAGGCTGAGCCTTGACCTTCACGTTTCTCCCTTTCCTTCTGGTTCTCTGTCCAGTCTGCTTTGGTGATCCTACTAAAAGCTGCTGTTGTGTCTATCACCTTCTGACCTGTGGTCGAAAGGGTGACTCAAGCAAAGGGTTGGACACCACTGCTGTGTCATGTTGTGCTCCTCCAGGACCCTTTGATGTAGTCAACCTTGTCTGGGCATTTTGGTGTTATTTTGTTCTGTAGCCCATGAGATTCATTCTTAGATGCACTCACATAATGAAGGGATCTGGTGTGATGGACATGGATACAAAGAATGAATTTAGTTTCCCTTTTAGAGCTCTGTGTTTACAGATCCTCTTTTTCTACCTGGGTCATGTTGTCCCAGCAGGGCCCTGACAGATTCTGTCTTCAAGAGGCAACTAATGAAGAAACACAAAAATCACTTTGAGTTTTTGAAAGATACCTTCTTATTTCCAGTAGCCTCCTTTGCCTTTCTCTTCAGTTATGACACTTTGGTTTTCTTTGCTAGATGGTCTGTGCTTGTTTTCAGCCCTTCAGTATGTCTTTATATAATTTCACACCACCTGCAACATTTGAGTCTCTTAACTGCCTCTTTTGGTTTCTCCTCAGTAAACTTTCTTATTTTGTGTTCTGTTGTTCCTGTTCTTAAACTTCTCCTTCCGATTCTGGGTCATGCACTGTGTTTAGGGTTAATGAAAAGCAGTTCACTGGTGGGCCTGTCTGGACCCAGGGCGTCGTGATGGCCCTTGCAAGATTGCAGAGGAGCTCAGCTGTGGTCAGACTTTAGAAAAAACATGAGCCCATACCTGTAAGGGTGCTCTCCGGAGCTAACGGGAGACCCAGCTTTTCTGAGGAAGCACAAAGCCCCTTTTGTTCTGGGTGAAAACCACAGGGAAGTGCAGTGACTTTGGGCTGAGCAGGGCGTGTGGTGTGTGTGGTGGAGAAGGGATTGGGAAGGATTTATTGTCTGTTGCCACACCTGGCTTAACATGGCAGGAACACCTCAGCAATCGATTGTACGATTTTGTGTGACTGAAGAACACTTGAGCCATACTTGATTCTACGTGTGCCCAGTCAGGTCTGGTGAGAAGGCACTGACGCATTTTCCCATGGTGCAAACTGCATTTCAGACCTGTCCCACTCCTGCCCACCCGCTGCAGATGGCATTGCCTCCCCTCCTGCCCTAGCCTCTCGGTGTGTGTGTCGAAGATTGGGTTTCACTCCCCACTTGCCATCACAGGGAAATTAATGCATTTGAGAAGAGGGGGAGGTGACACGAAGGCATTGGGCTTTTTTCAGTTTAGGGAAAAGGAAGCCTGTGGAGTGGGAGGAATGTGAGTGGGAAGGGATGCAGAGAGAGTTCTCCTGCTTAACTGTGTTGAGCTAGAAGTGATTGTTATTACAAATGAGCTCTAAAATCCCCCTCACAGGCCTATGTGAGGGCAGGCTGGCTGCACCTTTGTCAGCCCAGGAGTATACAGTTGCACCATGATGCAAGGGCTGGACTGGGCCGTCGCTGTTGAGACGGACGCGACACATTCATCAAGTTAAAATTAAAAGCCAAAACCCTAAGTTTATTGTCTTACAAGCCTTATATATACATTCCTCAAGCATATGTGTTCTTAGTTGATTGGTTCAACCCAAGCGCATCAGTTCATGATTGGATGACCTTGTTCTTCTTGCCACATCTGCTGTTTTTCTTGCCAGGTTTCTTCTGTTCTCATGTTCCGTTAAGTTGTTTACATCTGCAGTCCCAGCCACTTCTTCTTTCTCACTGGTACACGGCTGTCTTATCCAGGTCAGTGCCAGTTGTCTCCGTCTCGGGGTCCTTAGGCCAGCTGTGGACCCCCACACTGGGCGGTCTCAGAGGCCCCTCCCAGCTCTTTACTTCTTGGGTAAGTGAAGATCTTTAGTTGTCTCCCACTGAGAGCAAGTTTTACTAGCATTCCCATTTGCCTGCAGCCAAGAAGGCTGATGCTGCAAAATTAGAAAAGTTCATAAAGGGTGGGGAGAACAGTGCTTAGGAAGGGAACACAGTGTAGATAAGGCTAGTGACAGGGAGGGCTCTGCTTCTGGGGAGGTGGTAGCTGAGGATGTGCTGGGCTCTGTCCCCCAAAAGTCTGCCCAGCTGTGGCTACGAATATCTCATTCTTGCTTAGTGACAGTTGCCACCTGGATCCCTGCATGCTGCTAAGGATACTCGGATAATAGGAATAAAGCTCCAAGACCACATCCCTTCTGCTTAGCCTGAAGGTTATTGCTGACTTACGGGCATAAAACCTGCTTTTCCAGAGTTGTATCACTTTGTGTGAGACTGTGACGTTTTCCTCTTTCGCCATCCATCAGGGTGACCTTACCCTGCTCTGAAAACTGAACTGACATGCTAAGCAGTGCTGAGCCTCCTGTGGTGACATGACCGTGTCCCTGGGCTGGGCCAGGCTGGGATCTGGAAAGTGCAGGAAAACCTGCAACAGGCCAAACTGCCGTTCCCAGCTTTCAGTGCTATGAAGTGGTGAAGCTGGTTGTGGCATCGCATCCAGAAGGTAAAAGTCCTCTAGCTGGAGACCTGTTTTGGAGACCTGTAACTCTCACTTAGGCTTACTCGAGCAGACGCAGTACCACAAATCAGCTCCAGCCGTGTTCTATGTAATTATTAGAATTTTGCTTTGCTAAGAAGTGTGCACAAATGTGACAGCAGCTCCCCTATTGCTGTGCTGAAATCGTTGCCTGTCTTCCCATCTTTGAGCTCCTCTGTCTTCATCTCTTTGAATCTTCTGCTCTTTTGAATTTTCTGCTCTTTGAATCAAAGACCTTCTTGTTCGTACCACACCTAGCACTCTTGGATCTGTGCTCATGGCTCATAGCTGCTGAAGGATGAATGCCAATGGCAGGTACCGGATGCTTCTGCTCAGCCACCCTGTGGACAGACTTAAGAAAAATACCAGTTTGTTTACAGATGAAAGTTCCTCCTTGCCTTTGTGAACTCTGGTTTCTCTCCCCATAACAGGGGTGCTCCGTGCACTCTTTAGGTACGCATGACTTCCTGGCTGACATGAGCAGAATATCCTGACACACTGCTTGCCCCCCTGGTTTCCTCATCCGTGGCTGAGGCTCAGTGTTGTTATTTCTGCTTTTCAGACCTTTTCTCTTCTTGCGTTTCACCACTCAGTGCTCTGGGGAAGAGCCATAGGTCTGGCTGCAGATGGCAGAGCCCTGCTGTGCCACACGGTCTTTGTTGCTTTCTTGGTTGCCTCTTATATGGACCCACAGTTCAGCAGCATGTCTAGGGCTCCCTAGGAACACATACCCATCTGACCCTCTGTCACGGACAGCCTGCTTGCAGTGTTGAATTTCCAAAAGGTGCAAGACCTGACTACAAAATGATGCATTTCAAGTTTCTATAGATTTGGGTAGCTTAGGATGGGTGTTAATCAGTCACTTTCACATTGGGCATCCTGTGCACTTCTGAGTCAGACAAACCACATTTATGAATCAGCGTTGTGTTAGTTCCAAAATAGCTGATAAACATGTTAAACATAGTAAGAAAACTGCAAGTGTGGAGAGAGCTGGGGTTTGGGTACGTGGTGATGTTGTGAGTCAAGACTGGCTTTTCTTGGTGTCACCACAAACACATGAGTTATTGCTGGGCATGATGGGACAAGCCTAAGCCTGGGACATAACTGATTTATGGAAAAACTTGTCTTGAAAAACATCAATAAAGTGGCCAAACAAAGATTTTTTCAAATCTGAGGATGCGAAATTACCCCACTGTCTCCAGAGAAATTGAGAGAGTTACTGTGGGCAATTTCTTAGTGACTTGGAGTGTCAGTGAAAAGAAGTCTGAAATGGGTAGAAAATAATTTAATATCCGTCCCTTGTTAGAATCTGCAGCAGGTCTCATTTTTATTCTTGCAGATTATGCTTGCCAAGTTTTTCTTGCTGAAGTGCTTACAAGCTGGCAGTTAGCTTGAGGAGAACACAAGTTCAGTCAGAATCAGGAGATGCCCCTGACTGCTGATGCACAGGTCTGGGGAGGTGATGGGGAACACCACCACGTGTGATTCAGCTGAAGGAGCAGGGCAGACCCATTCCTTAGCTCCTGCAGCATGCAGGTACTGCATAAACACTGGGCATCGTTTAGCTTTTAAAATAAATCAGCCTGCAGGAATTGGAAAGCCCATAGAGTTATGTCCTAGGATTTTTGCGACAAGGAGATAAATGAAGGTTTGTGGAGAGAAAGGCCGCTTCTGGTGATAGGGAGACAAAGATCTCTGGGTTTTACAATCCTGGAGCCATTGGATAATAACTTTCCTGCTCAGTGGTCTCATTGCTGTGGTGCTTGTGAGTGCTGATGAGCTGCTACAGTGGGTGCTGATGCAAGAGCGCACATGGCACTTGGGTGCAGATGCTGGGCACCTTGCCGTGAGGCCAGTGTGCCATGAGCACCCCTGAGCACCTCAGCAAGGACAGGTTCATCAAGGAGATAAGACAGATGGCCATGCTATAGGATTTGCCTGCACCAGCCCTGGTCTTATCCTACTGCATTTTTTTTTATTTCAGCTGTCCCAATTCCTCTGCCCTGAGTGGAGAGCTCTGTGTTCCAATCGATTGACCTTGCTGAGCCTGGAGTGGAGTTCCCAGTTCGACACACCTGTGATCCGAAAATGGCCTGGCTGGCCAGCAGTGAAGCTGCCCTATGTTCCTCTTTGGGGTTTTCCAGGTGGAGATGACTGGGGTAAGCAGAAATTTCAAGAAAAGGGCCAAACGTTTCAAGCTCCACTGAAGCAACATGTCCTGATGACAAACGTTTCTTTAGTAACTAGAGGAAGGTGGTCCTAGAGTAGCTCTGTCCTGGGACCACAGCTTTATTTTTATCGCCTCCTGTAAATGCCAGACGTGTCCTGGTGCAGGGCAGGGAGGGAATGCACCTATTCACTGCTCTTGTCCTGCTCACTCCAGGCAGCCTCACTTCAGCCTCCGTGATTCCTACCGTATCCTAGGAATGACAAGCATTAACAAATAACACGCACTTATTTGTACTGCTAAACATTTGTATGCTCAAGAACTTATAGGTGTGTCCAGTGCTCCAAATCCATCCTGTAATTTCAGATGCAGTTTTGAGAAGCCGGGGACACACCCTGGTTTGCTCAGTGAAAAGCAGCCCTCTCTGATCCTGCACACTGAGCGCCCAGCGACTAGCGGCTTGGAGGTAAGTGCCACAGCTAACCGTGTGAGCGGGGTGGTGCAACCTCTTCTCCTCCTCTGCCAGAGCAGAGCCTGACTTCAAGGCATCGATAGCAGTGAATCTGTCTTAATGAGCTCTGAATTTTCTGCATGCATCTCCGTGCTTTCGCAGGTGTAGCAGACCCTCAGGAGTTTTTCACGCGTGTTGCGTCTAGTTTCAGATGGGTTTTGTGAAGCATGTTAGCGTGTGTAAATCTGCTTGCAAGACAGTCAGCTTTTAACTTTCCTACTCTGAGTTTGGCTTTGCAATTAAGTATTATTCATGTTTGATTTTTCTTGGTTGAAATAAGGTGATTCCTTGTATGTGTAGGTGCTCTGAAGACCCTTACAGAAATGCCGCCTTTACTCGCAGTGCTGTTGTTCCTCCTTTTGGTTGGTAAGTATTACCATGAGAAGGATGGATATATTGGGAGGATTTTCCATGCCAGTAGCTGTAGTTGAGATAATTCTCAAAAGGGAAAATTGTGCTGAAAAACCACTGAACTTTACTTTGGTGGTTGCTCTAAATCCCCAGCCTTTGGTTATGCTTGTTTATTATTGTATCTATAAACCAAAATGCATTACTTTTTGTAATAATGAGGGTGGAAAGACAAAATTGGAATTCCTTCTCCTCCTCTTGTTGTAGAGCTGTCTGCTCACTGCTCACTGCTTCTTTTGTTGGACTATCCAGATGTCTCTGGGAAAGCACTTAAGAAATAATCTTAGCTGATTACCTCTATAATCCCCTATTCTCCCTCTGTCTGTTTTTTTTTGGGTAATAAGGGATTCCAGAGCAGGATCTTTATTTCTTTGAGTGTCAGCACTTTATTCTTCCTTCCTCATCAGACTTGAGATCGTGTTTTCAGTGAACCATAGAATGATTTGGGTTGGAAGAGACCATAAAGCCAGCCCAGTGGCACCCCCTTCCCTGGGCAGGGCCCCTTCCCCCAGCCCAGGGGGCTCCCAGCCCCGTCCAACCTGGCCTGGAACCCTTCCAGGGAGGGGGCACCCACAGCTGCTCTGGGCACCCTGGGCCAGTGCCTCACCCCCCGCACAGGGAAGGATTTCTGCCTTATATATAACCTAAACCTACTCTCTTTCAGCTTAAAACTGTCCCCCCTCGTCCCACCCCCACCCCCTGATCCACAGTCCCCCCCCACCTTCCCTGCCCCCCCTTTAAGCCCTGGGAGGCCGCTCGAAGGGCTCCCCGGAGCCTTCTCTTCTCCAGGCTGAACCCCCCCAACTCTCTCAGCCCGGCCTCCCAGGGGAGCTGCTCCAGCCCCCCCAGCATCTTCGTGGCCTCCTCTGGCCCCACTCGAGCAGCTCCGGGTCCTTCTGCTGTTGGGGGCACCCGAGCTGGCCCCAGCACTGCAGGGGGGTCTCCCCAGAGCGGAGCACAGGGGGGCAATCCCCTCCCTGGCCCTGCTGCCCCCCCTGCTCTGGCTGCAGCCCAGGGCACGGGTGGGTTCTGGGCTGCGAGTGCACGGGGCTGGCTCACGGACACTTTTCCCCCCACCAGCATCCCCAGTCCCTCTCCTCGGGGCTGCTCTCCAGCCACTCCTTGCCCAGCCTCGATTAGTGCTTGGGCAGGACCTTGCACTTGGCCTTGTTTTCATGATGTTTGCACAGGTTCCCCTCTCCAGCCTGTCCAGGTCCCTCTGGATGCCACCCCTACCCTCCCGCGTGTCCCCACACCACACAGCTCGCTGTCGTTGGTGAACTTGCTGAGGGTGCACTCAATGCCACTGGCCATGTCACCAGCGAAGGTGTAAACCAGCACCAGTCCCAACACCAACCCCTGAGAAATGCCACTTGTCACTGCTCTCCACTTGGACATGGAGCCATTGACCACTCAGTGTGCAGCCATGGGATATCATTACATTTCTTTGGGCCATGCTTGCCCCCATCCATCTTACTATCTTCTGTAAACGCCCTAGATAACTGGAGATGGGGAAAAGGCAGAGTACCAGAAATGTGCTGAGCTTGTAGAGAATTTGCATCCAACAGCTTACCTGCACTGCTCTTTTGAGAATGGATTAGAGAGAGAAGAAAGAAAACACAGGTTTCTGAGAGTGCCTAAACAGGTTTCTGAAAGGGAGGGGGGGAAGATCTAAGTGTAGTGTTGCCACACTATCAGTGTGAATGTCCTTATTTTAAAGCAGCAGTGGGGTGACCAAGCAGTGCTCAGCAACCTGGTGGCACAGAAGTGCCTTCAGGGAGTAGGAGGGACTGTGGAGAGCAGTTGAACCATGAACAGCGCAGCGTACGTGAGTGAAGGAGAAAGTCTCTTCCATCAGGAAAGGCTTCAGCACAGCCTGGCGTGCCGGTGCAGTAACAAAGCATGGGAGTGAAAGCAATGCTTAGGTGGGTATTGCTCCCAGAGTGATGCCTCCATATCCTCATGGTTCATAACACTATCCGAGTCCATAGCTTTTGGTGTGATATTGTAAGGTGAAGGATTTGTTGTCGTACAGTAAAGATTTTTGTGATAGTAGGTTGGGGTCCTCTTTGATCTTGCAGACTGAGAAGCCACCCTTCCTCTTCCTCCGTCTCCCTGCATGGGGGATTGTGAACACTGCTTTTTTGAGCCAATGGGATGATCTGCATGCTTAAAGTTAAACACAGGCATAAGAGCTTCCCCAGAGCAGGGTCAGAGGGCTTGGCTGTTTGTTCCCATGGTCCGGTTCTGAGGTGAGCAGGACGTGATTCTCATGGTGGCAACAGCCCAGCTTTGCCTGCAAGCAGGGAAGCACGGCCTCAGGGCCAGACTCTGGCACTGAACTTTGGTTATGATTTTGGTCACTCTTCTGGGACTTTCTCTAGGAGTGAAGGTAATGTATGTTAGGGCTAGAGGAAAGCACTGCATTTGCTCAGCTATGGGTATGTTTCCTTTGCTTGTTACGTAGTGGCAGTTCTCTATTAATTAAATGATTAAAAAGGTATAGCAGTTAGTAATCAAAAAGCTGTTATACTAATTCAGGACTCTTCTCATCCATCCCTACAAGCTATTTTAAAATCCCCTTCCTGGTGCAGGTCATTGGGCTGGGGAATGCATCCACATCCTCCTCCTCCTTTTCTTGCCCATCACAGTTCAGTGATAAGGGTCTCCCATCCTGTTGATTTCTGTGCCAGATATCACTGTGGGTTTGGCTGACACTGCCCTGGCCAGCTTAGCCCAATCTCGTAGCCATATGGTGTGGAGGAACCACAGGCCGTTGCTTCTGTGTTTTGATTTTGGGGCTCAGCTCTTCCACATTCCCCACGTGAGTCACTTCTGACCAAATATTTGTAGATAACACCAATCCTGACCGTGCTTTCTCCAGGAGGACTGGGAGTCACTGATGCTTTAGAGCCACTGAGCAGTCATGCTGAACCTGAGCTCAGCCACACCTCTGTGTGCTTGCTGGGCACTGCTCAGCCAGCCCTGGGCTAGCTGGTCCATGGGTCCAGCAAGGGAGACATGGGTGGGGGTGATCTCTGTAAGCCCCTTCAGCCTCCTGTCAGCTCTAGTGCCTGATCCAAAGTCACTGAAGTTGGTGGCGTTCCTCCTGCTGAGAGATAACCACCAAACTTTCAGTGCTGTGTTATTTCTTGAGCAGATGAACAAGGCTTGCAGAGAAGTGGGGGTACCCTGGGCTGCAGGGCAGCCGGGCTTGCTGTGGCCTGCCGCGCACCGAGACGGGTCCGAGGATGTAGCTAAAGAGGTGGGAGAAGAGTGGTGGAAACTGGGCATGCTGTGTGGCGTGGAGGGGCGTCTGGGACAGGCAGCTCTGCAGGGCCCTGGTGCCTCGCTGTGGGCTGAGGTCGGGCACAGCTGCCCCAGGAGATGGGTGAAGGTGACAGCGCTGACCAACCGAGTCCCGAGCGCGCGGTTGGAGAAACACGCTGACAAAAACAGCTGTGCTAGCAAATTATGACAGTCAGCCTGCCAGCGTAACTTCAGAACCCTCTAACCATTGTCTTCTCCTTCTCCCTGCCTCTCATTTCGTGTAGCATTTCTTATATTGGCTTGTTCTGTCCTGTCAGAAACTAGTGGGAAGGCTCTACCTTCCTCTTTCTTCTGTGCACAGGGGATGCTGACCTTGGCAGACTCCTAATCTGAAGTAAATAATCCTAGTGTCAGGGAGATTTGAGTTCGTGTATGTTGTTACTGGTTTCCTAAGCTTGCATTTTGCCACCTTCCCAGCTTCATGGCATTGGCAGGGGAGATATAAGTTGCTCTCAGGAACAATGTAAAAGTTGGGAAACAAGGAACAGATGAGTGGAGGGCTTGTACAGACCTGCCAAGAGCCAGCAGTGTCAGGTTGACTTCTTCCAGTAAATCCCTGTCAAGCTCTTGGGCAGGACTGGTGTGAGGGCTGGTGTTACCTGCGTGCTGTGCAGTTCTGCAGCATAGGGTGATTTTAATCCAGTCGAAGATTTAGCAGGAAAAATAGATGAAACACAAGTTTGGCTACAGTGGATGTGTTGACGGGGGCGCTGTAAGAAACAAGTAGAAGCTGCAAACCTAAAAGCAACGTGGAGGTATAAGCATGGTGAGCTTGGCCTCCCAGGCTGATCCCTGGCCATGGTGCACAAGGAATACTGGGCAAGGAAGTCCTGGAGAGAAGAACTGTCCCCAGAGTGTTGTTTCTGCCCCTTTCCCTGCCTTTTCCTCTTTGGGGACAGAGTTGCATGCCATCCCTCGTGTCATCTAAGACACCACATTTCTGTCCTCTGCCAGACTGACCTGGGTGGATAGAGGAGTACCTCATATCTGCTCACCCAGCCAGCTGCCACAAAGCCAAAGAGAAAACAGCAGAAAGGTCTGACAGAAATGATTCTGTGAAATACTGTGTCAGGCATGAGGGAAAAATAATGTAGTGAGATGAGTGATGTTCAGGGTCTGTTAAGCCAAACAGGGGCTGGACTGTCGAATGAGCTTTGTCTTGGATTTGCTGCTAAAGTCATGGTACGCTGTCTTCCAGGTTGGCAGGTAGCTGCTGCAACTTCTGCTGGGACATATCTGGTAAGGCAAACTCACGTGTTTAAAATGTGTGTCATCCATGTCTTTACTTGAAAAGCATGTCTGGGTTGGTGGTCAGTGTGGGCCACTTCCCGATATCAGTGCATTGATGGGAATCAATCGCTACAAGCCAGATCCAGTGCGTTGAGCGTGGAGGTGGATGGTAAGTGCCCTTCCCCGTTCTGTCTCCCAAGCAGGGAGTGGAGTGGGGATGGCTTTTCCAGGTCTTTGCAGGGCTTCAGTGCAAGCACATCACCAGACTGTTCAAGGTGACACTCATGACCACACTCAAATCGTCAGGAGGACGGTCCATCCCACTGGCTGTCATGCCTGAGTGATGGGAGGACTCGCATAACCCTGAACTTCCCAGCTGTTTGAAGTACAGATCCAGTACTAATGTGAATTTTGCAGATGGCAGCTACATAGCATGGCAAGATGGGAGTGCTGGACCTGGGCACTTGGTGTTTTCAGGCCAGATCCAAGTACAAATAGTTGCAGCTAACATGCTTGTCTGCATGCAATGATCACAAATAATGTTGTGCTACTATTGTACCTCCATGATAAGATCACCTCTTTTCTCTCTTTCTCCCAATGCAGTGCTCCAGCTCTCCTGTCAATGGTGAGTTTCTTCCCAAGTAATCTCCATGAGGAGGATTCAGAAACGGTTCTGTATACATATTCTTATCACAGTTCCTTTATCTTTGTCTCTCTTTTTTGGGGGGAATCAGAACCTGCCGTGTGTGCTTCAGTGGAAAGGTATGTGAACCATCAGCAGATTATCTTGGCAGCATTTTCCTTGGGAGTGGTACTGGATTGTTGGGGATGTCACCTCAGGTAGCAGGAGGCCTCTGAAAGGAGGTGTAGCATCTTTCTCCCCACAAAGTCCCAGGGTTGCCTGTGGGCAGGGAGGGCTCTAGTGGTGCTCATTGAAACAGTGAAGGGAAAATGCCTTCCTGGGGCTCTGTGTCTGTGCAGGGCAAGGAAAAGCAGGGCGAGTCCCTGGTGTGTCAGCCAGCCTGACGCTGGGTGGGATTTACTGCTCCAGGAACCTTGGCATTGGTGCTGAGCTTAGCTTGGCTGGTGGTGGGGGCCTAAGACTCAAACAGGTCAGCTTCAAGCCTTCACTGAACTTGATTTCTACCTAAGGGTTGACAATTTGCAAGTACCCTCTCCCTGCTCTCAGCTGGTGCCAGCAAATAATCTTCACCATCTGTATTGTTTGTTTGTTTGTTCTTCTGTATTTGCTACGTGGGCTGTGCTTTGTTGTTGTGGCTGTCTGGCATTGCTCCTGCTCCTTAAGGGGTGGGCTGGACCCAATAGCTGTCCCTGCTGCAGGTGAACAAAACTCCCATAACAAAAGCATGTGGTCAGGGGCATCCAGACCTTTCACTGACCACTTGGGCTGGGGCAGCTCTGCTCCATGCCTGCGTTTGCAGACGTATTGCTGACAGTGTGCCAGCTCCCAGCCAGTTCTGCCCCCAGCTGCTGCAGCTCACTGGCATGAAGGTGATGTCTTTACTTTTTTCCCCACCAGTGTCAGCCAGGAGACGCTTCTTGAGATAGCCCGTGGCCAAGCTTCCCCCTGCAGCCTCACTTTTGGTCAATACGCCTGTGCACAGGTAACAGCAGTCCCCTTCTTTTCCTGAGCTAATGCTTTGTTTTCCTTGACAACAGTGCCATTTCTATCTTAAAAGCAGTCAAGGTGTCAGCCTGAGGCAGCCTTGGGGGCTGGGTTGTCGAGGTTTCCCTCACAAGACTGAGAGAAGGGATGGAGTCACACGCACAGGGACCAGCCAGAGCACTGAGCTGTGCCAATGTCCCCTTCCCAGGGAGCACGTGCTCTGTGCCACGAGGCTCAGGAGTGGCCACGCCACCATGGAGGCCTTTCTGGGGCTGCCCGTGCAGGCAGGGGTTGCTGTCTTTTCCAAACCTCTCAAGTGAGAAGGTGGGAGACAAAGGAGATTTCCAAAACAAAATTGCTCTTAGAAACTGGCATCATAGCGCTGAGACAAATCTCTTCATGAGAGTAAGCCTGCTCAGGTTACATTGGGGTAAACCACAATAAAAAGTGGTAAAAGCCCTATAAAAAGCAGTTGCAGTGTGGAAAATGTCGTTTGCAATATTTCAGGTTTACTTCCTTTCCTGCTTTTGTCATTATCTCTAAGTTGCTGTGCTGCCAGTAATTGCAATTATATTGACAATGATTTGTATTTTCCCATAAATGTTTCTAACAAAAGATGTGATTTCTTCAAATATTTGTTTGTGGGGTTTTTTTTGTTTGTTTTTGTTTTGTTTTGTTTTGTTTTGTTTTTCACTGAAAAATGTTTCTGGAATGAGAAAGTTCCCTATGGAAGTTTCTACTTTGATCAAATGGCCTTTTTTATTTTTTTGATGGGAAACCATTTCGAATAGCTTTTTAAAGCCACCCTTTGCTTGTGGGGAGCACAGATTAGGTAACAGAAGGATCCAGCATTTGGAACTGGGTAAGTTTAGAATGGCTTCAAGGCAGTGTAAGTTGGACTTTCTTCTGACTCTTCTGTCAACAGGTTTTGTCACCTTACAGTGCTGACTGCTCACGTGTAGGTGAGCTAGCGAAGCAGACCTGAAGGTGATTGCATACTGCAGCATCTCTAAATATGACACACCCTTTATTGTCTCTATATGGATTTCCCTTTTTTCAGAGTGCTTGGCTCCAGGACCTGCCGGATGATTTCCTCATATCCTTATATTCTTGCCTTAACCCTAAACCTGCCAGTGCTATGGATCCAGAATACTCCATTCTGTTCTTTTCCAAATACGATGCCAAGAAGCTTGTAGCTGCTCTGACTATGTTCAGCCGGCGGGTGGGTATCGCATATCTAGCTGTTTGTTCACCTGTAACATTAACACCAGTGGAAGGCTTTAATTAACATTACCTTATCTTTCACCTTAACATCACCTTCTTTTAGAAAGGGCACCATTTCAATTAACAGCTCTCCACCAACAGAGCAGAATTCTGTGCTGTTAAAAATAACTGGAATGACAGGAATAACAACCATGAGTTTGCGTAGGTTGGCTGTTGCTAATTGCAGTGACAACACAGACCTGGGGTTCCAGTGTGAATTCCAGGCTGACTACTTGAACTGCATAAATATTGCTATGGTGGAAGAGTCGCTGTCGGGAGGGGGGATTGTTGCTAGGGGAGGTTCTGTTCATAATGTTAATGTTTGTTTAGAAGTCCATGCTCACTTGAATTCCTGTGTTTTCGTCTCATCTCTTGCCTTCAGTTTTCCCATGTGCCTCTTTCTTTCGAGTGGAACATGATCTTCATTAATGGCCTGTGGGAGAAGATGTTGCAAGTACCCGACGTTGACAGCCCACCCGTTTTGTCTCAGTGGGTCCATGAGGGGCTTCAGCCCTTCCTGGTCGAGCCCAAGGTCTTTGCTTGCCTCCATGCCAAAAACATCTTGTGTGAGACATTTCAGATGATGTAAGTGCTGAACACAAACATTATTTCAGTCCCATAGGAAAGGGGCCCTTACTCCAGCCTCCCAAAGCACAGGGCTAACCCCTGGAAGCGCTGTGCACTGCCGGGGTTCCTGAGCAGCTCTCCCCAAGGCTTTGTGACACACCTGCTGCCCCTGTGGCTGAGCTCTGCATCACTCAGTGCACCTGTAAGGACCCCGACCGCACTGCGCTTGCAAAGCAGGATTGCAGGATGGGGCAGTGCAGCCCCCAGATCATCAGGGAGGGGGGCTGCTGTGAAGGGAAGTCACGTTGGTAGCGGATGTGGTTGATAATACCAGCCTTCAAGTAACAGCTGTTTCTGTGAGAATCCAACCCTGCCAGGTTTGACTTCACCTGTGATGTCTGCCTTTCTTATCCGTCTTTAGAGTCGCTGCCCTGAATGGCATATATTCTGACCTTCCAGTGGAAGAACAGAGGAATCTTTACAATGGGATCAAATACTATCTCCTTCAGGATGGTAAATGACTTGATTTTCTTTAAGAAAAAACGGAGTGCTTTAAGCTGGATGCTACAACATCAGCTGCGGTCTGTACAGGGCTGAGGCTTCACAGATTTTTTGTGAATTTCTGTTGACTCTTCAGTGGAAATAGGCTGGGAATATGGCAGTGGTAAGAGCTATCAGAAATCATTTCCCTGCCTGAAGGCTTTATTAATCCAGGATTTTTATAAATCAGTACGGTCAGTCCTATGCTGATTTACATTCTGTGCAAATGGCATTTGCTGATTTTCTTGTGAAATAATAGTGCAGGGGTTTGTTCTGAGAGCTAAAGAATTCAGCTCAGAAAGGTGACCCAGGTAAGACACTCCCCTGTCTCCAGGCAGTAGCTCGCAGGCAAAAATGTAATGTCCTGCAAAACGTTTCTGGCAGATATGAAGGGAGGAAGAAAGAGACTGGTGAAGGAATATTTGGAAAGCTGTGAAAGAATGAGGCATCTGTCCTGTCCCATGTGCTTTTGTAATCTGAATGCACAAACACGCAGATTTGAGTATAATGTGTGCTCAGAGGCACTTAGGGTGCTCTCTGCTGACTGAGTTCTCTGATGGACTGAAACCCATTCCACATTCGGAATCTCCAATCTCCACTGATTTCCTGATACAGTGCAAGTCTGTAGTTTCATGGTGTCTGCCTGTTTTGCAGGATCAAACCAGAAATGCTACAGTGCAGCTGTTCCAGGTCTGAATTCCACTGCTTGGTTTGAAAATTATCTTGGATCATTTTTGGAGCATGCTACTGTTGGAGACCTGCAGCTTTTTGGTGATGAACCAACAGTAAGTGCAGGCTCATTGTGGTGATGAAGAACCTTCAGTGTGCAACATAATCTGTGCCTGGGAGGTCATCTTCCTGCCCTGAGCAAAATTCATAGAGATGCTGCTAGCAGGAACATTTCTCTTGTTTATTTATGGTGAACGGTCACTTCAGTTCTTATTTTTTCCCCCATCATGATTTCTTGTGATAAGAGGCACTTGCACAGAAGTTGGTTTCACACAGGTAGTTCTACAAAAAGCAAACTGGAGTCAATAAGAGGAGCAAACCCAAACTTTATCTCCAGACTGGGCTGGTGTCTGGGCTTGGTTTAGTGAATGGCTGTTCCAGGCCTGCATGTGTGAGTGGTGCTGTAGGGGCATGGCCATGTCCTTTAGCAGCTCTCCCACCTTTGTGCCTTGCAGCAGTAAGAGAACCTTGAATGCCTTCAGAGTGCAAAGATAAATAAAACAGGGTCCTGGTGTATTACTTAAAAAATACATTTCCTAACAACTTTAAAGCCAGGTGAAAAAAACAGTATTGCTTGAAGTGAGATTTGTTCAAACTGTCCCAAGTGACCGTCAGAATTAAAGTATCCAGCTATTTTTTTTTTTTTTTTTCCTCCATGTCAACACCCTCAGCTTCAAAAATTTGCCAGAGATCCAGTCAATATCCAGATGATCAGCAACCTCACCTTGCTCCGGGAGACAGCTGGGTACTATACCTGGCTACTGACCTCTGCACCTGGTTTCCCCTTATCGAGGTACGGGACCTGACCTGACTTCCTGCCCGACTTACGATTTAGTACCTTTAGCAAAACTTAGCGAGAGTTTCCTGAGTGGTCATTCTGATGGCAGCTTCCATTAAACCTTTAAAGCGTTTTTCTGTTCCTCAAATAATTGCTTTGCACTTGATCTTGGGGAGGGCCAGACCACAAGTTCCAAGCCAGCCACTAGCTGATGACCAACAGCGCATCTTACATGCTTCTGTGGTTTTGCATGGCACGGGAGCATCAGCATCTTCAGGGCTAAAATGAATCTGGGGAAACATGCATGGGAAAAGAGCCTCTGACAGAGCCACTGTCTGTCATACCAGCAACCTCTCCTCCTTGTCTCCCCACTGCAGTCTCCCAGACAGATTTGTTTGCTACCTGAGTCCCTCGGCAGTGAGCAACCTGAGCAGAGGTGACGCTTTGATTTTGGCCCAGAGGATCAGCAAGAACTGCCCGTTGAACCTGACACACAGAGGAGTAACTAGAGAGAGAGCTCCCTCCTCCCTGACAACAGAGGAACTGCAGGTAATCTCCTGTACAGCCCCACGACTCAGTTCTTCATTCACCTAGACAAAATTTGTGAGGGTTGAGGATTCAGCTCTCATGTCTCCTCTTGTGTACACTCCTGTAGGTCCTCTTGCCTTTTTTTTTTTTTTATTGTGGCATCTGGCTGGTGTTCCATAATCTGAAAATTCTCAGTGGGTGGAGGCAGTTCCTCAGTGGGCTTCGCCACACAAGTTTGAGGCAGAAACTCCAGTGATTTAAGGCATCCAAAGGCTGTAGGATCCAACAGGCTCACCTCATTGCTCCTTTGACTTTCTTTTCTGTCTGTGTGGGACCTTTTCAGGTTGCATCCTCTTTGGTGAGAAAGTTTGAGCATTTTTCTCCTGCAATCCTGCGTGCGTTGGGCCAGGCTGCAGTTGGGCTGTCCGTATCTGACATTGAAAACAGCATCAGTGATAAAGACCTGGAAGCATCTATACCTGCCCTGGGTGAAGTTCGTGGCTGGAACTCTGAGCAGTCCAGCGCTATTATCAACAAACTGCTCAGCTCTGGCTATCAGGTACAAAGGATAAGGTCTACAAATGCACCTCACAGCTGGTATAACTAGCTGCCAGAAAATGATGTTTGGCCCTTCACGGACTCACGCCTGCGTGCATTACCTTTCAGATCCCAGATGGACAGAGCCTGGCAAAGCTAGGGAGCTTGGTGGCTGGCCTCAACAGCAGCGCGCTTCGAAGTCTATCCCCAGAAGTGATCTTGGAAGCCATTAAGTTGCCTGAGTTTGTTCAGCGACTGGGGACCCTGCCCTCTGCTCTGAAAATGACATTTGTGGAAAAGGTGAAGTTGTTTTTCTCTTCGGGCGTCCTGAATTAACAAAGCTCCAGTGACTCACAGCTGAGAACACTGGTTACCTGGGGCCAGGCATTGACACACACCCGCACACCCAGACAGCATTCCCTTGGGGGTGTTTGTCATGGCAAAACAGAGTGTGCAGCAGGACAAGCATCTCAAGTCCCTATCACTGTGCCTGTGTAGATGTCCTTGGCTGCCAGCCAGCGTGTCCTGCCGAGCCACTTGGGGACAAGAGCAGAAGAGACAGTTGTTTTACGGGGTAGTCCCAGAAACTACTCCCCACTGACTTGAAAAGGTGCTCTCAGAGAAAGGGTATTGTTATGGTTTGGAGTAAAAATGTGTGAGAAGTGAAGGTGGCTTAGAAAGTCCCTTTTGGGACAGACTGATCCTTTAGCAAAACACTGTTTCATTCCCTCGTGTGATTGTGTAGGATTTGAACACCTCTTTGCCTTTTTTTTCAACATGACTTTAGCCTTCAAGACGCATGTTTAAGTCTGTTGTAATTCGTCCTCCCTCTGGTGGGAAAGACTCTGACCTGTGTTTGGCACCAGAGGACCTGCATGTGGCGTGTCCTTTGGCAGTGGGGCAGGCAGGGCTTTGTGTGAAGCGTTAGGGAAATAACATCTCATTCCCCACAGGATTGTTCTGCAGTGTGCCTTCGGCAAGCTGAGTTATTGTTTGGGTTGGCAGAGGGGACAGACCGGGCCCTCCTTTCTGGCCTGTTAAATATTTTTAGGGCATAAAGCCAGGAGGTGGGAAACTGATAATAGACAGAATTGTTCCCATTCATCAGGACCCCAGGTATCAGCTCTAAGCAGCTCTCCTAGTCTGATGAATATGTCAAACAGGAAATATTTCATAGTGTTAGGTCTCCAAGAAATGCCCAGGTGGTCAGCAGGGGAATTTGTCTGGCTTCTTTCCAGTTTGTCATTTCTTCTCCAGCAATTGTTTATTTTAGCCACAGTGTTTGAATGATATGTTTTTGATTTGTTTGTTGTTTTTTTGGTTTTTTTTTTTTTTTTTTTTTTTTTTAAGATTTCCTCCAGTGTAGGCCACCCTGCTGACCTGGTTAAATATATCCCTGATGCTCTGGCCAGTTACATTCCAAAATCATTGCTCGTTTTTGGAGAAGAAAAGCCTAATATTCAGGATCTCAACAGTAAAATGTGGACCCGAGAACAGGTGATATGCTTGTGGCTTGTGTCCTTCTTACCGCTCAGTGTCGGCCTTGGACTCTACAGAGCTCTGAGTCCGCTCTGCAGATCTGCCTGAAAATGCAGGTGAATGTTGCAGAGGAGCATGGTAAACCACTGCCACTCTGGCTTTGCTTCACAGGCTGCCGTGTTTTTCAGTGATGTGATAAAGACAGAGCCTGACTTCAGCAGGTAGCATTTTTCTTCTTCCATTTTCCCTGTTTGCTTTGATTGCAATTTCCGTGTTTCCTTTGGTATGTATGGCAGACTCAGCGTATTCAATCCCTAGCAGCAGATGGGAAATATTATGCAAACCCAAACGCAGGAGTGCAGCACCAAGATTTACCAAGGTATCAGCTGTAAAATATACCCATAAAGCACACTTGCTTTCTAAAACGATGCTGCTGGCTCAGACTGCACATGGAACCTTGCTTCTGCCTGCCTCTGTGGAAGGCATTTCTAATTGAAGGATATGTCAGCCTTCCCCAGTGCTACTCCAGGGATTAAATTTAGCGGGGGCTGATATGTGTCTGTTGTCAGCTCTCATATCTGAGATGAAAAATTATGAGATATCTGAAGGAAAAATGGAGTCGACATCAGTGTCCTGCTGATTTCATAATAGAAGCTTTCCCATATAGAAAGCAATTAAAGTTTTAAGGACTTCTCCCTGAGCTCTCCCAGGCTGTGCAAACTGTGTTCAGCAATGAGGATCTGCACAACTCTATTTTGCTTTCAGTGTGTGGCATGTACTGAAAACAGGGAGGAGACCGATCTTGTAATCCAGGATACAACAGTATTGCTTGGGGTGGAGAGATTGTCCCTGCATTTCTGCTAACACTGCGAGTCTCTAGATTATGTTTATTTGACCAGTGATGGCTTCTTGATCTCCCACAGAGGTCAAGGCTAGCAATTTTGGGGGGGTGGAATTGGGAGAGCATTAAGCTTTGAGAATGGGAGAGGTTTATGCATGCGGTATTTGTCATTATATGTGTGGGAGATCAGCAATGAATTTGCTCCTAAAGTCCTTGCCCTTATGGTTTGCCTTCTGTAAATGTTCAGGCTTTCCCAATCAGTCCTCCAAGGCTTCACATGTGCAGCTGCCAGTGAGATGGAAGCAGGAAGATTTCAGGAGCTGGCCAAAGTCATGAAGAAAAAGGATGTCAGGCTGGGAGAAGACCAGGTCAGTTCCCCGATTTCGAAATGTCATGTTTGATGTTGTTGTGAAGATAGCAATGAGGATTGTTCAGCAAGAACAAAAACACTTTCAGCTTTAGGGACTAAAATGTAACAGGTCCTGGGTCTCCATCCCACAGTTCTGAATTTCCCCAAAAGGAGGAGAAGTCAAAACCCAGTTGGCTAGGTTTCTCAGGAACCAAAACCTCTGATTTATGTTATGTGTCTTTTATTATTTTTTTTTCCTTACCTTAGAGCAGAGTGAATTTTTTTTTTTTTTTTTTCTCATGTTTTCATGCTGGTTTCTTTCTTTGATGTCAACTGTGGTGTCCTTTCAGCTGAGTTGCTTAGTGAAGATGGTGACGTTGCACGGGATTCCCAAGGATTTAGATAGCTATCCTAAAGACCTGTTGCTGTTTTTAAGGTAACCGTGTTATGGTTTTCATGTTGTTGCCCTAGTACTTAGTGGGGAAAATTACTTTATAACCCAGCTGGTAATGACTAGTTCATGTTTGATGTATGTTTCAAACTTGCTCAGTCCTCCTTAGAGGGGAAAAAAAAAAAATCAAATTGCAGAAAGCTTTCAAAAGGGTTTTAAGATCCTTTCAGATTCAACTTTCCATCATATTAATATACACACTATGAAGCTCTTCTTAAATACGTCTTTTTGGATACAAAACCAGTATGTGGGTTTAGTACCTTCTGCCTCTGTGAATGTGCTTTTCCCTTACAACGTCAAAGAAAACAGGCAATAAAGTGGGTTTCTTTGTTCCATCAGCTAGCCCCTGTGGTTCTCTATCCAAATCTTGAACAATTTTAAGCTGAGTTTCACAATATATTCCTTAAGATGCAAATGAATTTTTAAAAAATGTGGACTAGGATCTTTGGGACCAACAACTGCGTAGAGTTTAGTCTGTGGATGTGGAATATGTTGTGTTGAACAGCCTTGAACCTGACTGATTGATACCATTCACTAGAACTCATGGAGTATTTGTCTTTCTAGTCCTTCAGACTATGCAGCGACAGGAAGCTGTAGGCAGTACTTTGCTAATATTGGGAAAGCAAATCTTGATGTTCTGCAAAGAGAGTCATCTCAGCGGAAACAGCTGCTCTTGGAAGGTTTAGCGTGTTTGGTACGTGGTCAAGGCACAGCTCTGCACAGGGCTGGGGAGAACTTGGGGTTGTCAGCTGTCAGTGGGAACAAGCGTGCTCTTCTACAGTGGCATCCATTAAACGCCTCGGTCTTGTATTATTTCAGAAAATTCCTGGCACACAAGTGAATGAGGACAATGCAGAGATTCTGGGGCGTCTGGTCTGTGACCTGGGTGGAGAATACATCAGAAGTTCTGGTGGGAATTTGCTGAGGCAGCTAAGCCAATGTGAATCTTTCCTGCCTGATCAAGAAGAGGCTATTAGGAGTGTCATCAGCAGTGGTAACACTACATTTGGGTATGAATTTTTCTTCTGAGTATCAGCAAAACAGTTTCCTTAAACAAAACCATTGTCCTATTAAGAGCTGAGCGAACCAGCTTGATCAAAAACTTGAATAATTTGTTGCTTTTGAATTTCACATTGAGTCTTTTAGATTGTTTTGTTTGAACTTCTTTCAGCTGAAAGGTTTGGCTGGAATTCAGCTGAAAAATACGTTGTCACTTCTGTATCTCACCTGCTGTGGTTATAAAAGTTTTACCTCTGGTCTATTTTTCATTAATCAAACTTCTCTAAGACTGTCCTGATGAACACAGGCGGGCTCTACTGTTTGGCAGCCACTGACTTCCAGAAAACCTTCTGTTTCTACTTGTCAAACTGACAGATGCTTGATAAATATCTGGCTATAGCTAAGGGACATTGTCCAGGGTGGCAAAATATTTTTCCTTTCTGCGCCAGATGCCCTGAGATCTTGGCACTGCATTGGGCGATAGTAAGCAATAGAGATTCTTTGGGTTTCATGCTTAAGAAAATAATGTATTTGTTAAATGCCATTTTCCCATCCAGCTGCCCTTATTCACCTTAGTAACAATTGCTCCTGCTCTGGTGGAATGAAGTTTTGTGTAACAAGAAGTGATTGAGAAGTTTTAGGATTTAAATCTTGTGGGTTTTTAACTTCAGATGTTACAAGGCCATAATCCTGGCAGTTCTTAAACTGTTTGTTTTTGTTGTTCTTTCTTGAAAGCTGATACCTGCTAATGTTTGTATGCAGGCCTCCCGCAGCGTGGTCAGCTTTTACCTTGAATGACCTCGGTGGATTGATTCCTGTATTTGATCACAGCATCTTGCAGAAGATCCCCAAGGTGGGTTATTCATAGAGGTGTGTGTGTGGGGGTGGGTGGGCAGTGTTTGGGAAGCACTCCTAGGTCCTGCAGTGTGGAAGAAGTATGATGGGGGTTGTTCAGGTGATACGTTTTCAGTAGTGTCTTCATTTAAAAGTGTGGTGCCAGAGGGGTGGATGGTCTGTGAGAAGTGAGGGTTGATCAAACTGACAGCCTGGAGCTGCAAATCTAGATTGCTGTCATCCTCTTCCTGTAACTGTTGGAAGAGTGCCGGAGGTGGGAAGCTTTAGTAACTCTATACAATGCTTTGTGAGGAGGTAAAATCATTTATGGGACGTGGGATATGACAGAGCTTAAGCATTTAGGAATTTGCCTTTGGGTCACCAAGGAAAGAGCTCTATGCTTTTAGCAGCAGGTCTGCTGCCCTTAGTACTTTAACAACGAAGTTTCTTGTCTGTGTGTGTAGCTACTTGTTATGCTGGTGGTGCGCCCAAGGTTGAAATATCCCTCTGATGAAACATTTTCCTTGCAGAATGCTTTAATTCTTTGGCTGAAAAACTTTGCACACGATTCACCTCTGTCCAGGGAACAGCTGGCCATCATTGTTGAAGAACTCCTGCCTACTAGACATAAGCGTGCTGATGGTATGGGAGCTTCCTCCATAGACAGCATTTCCCCTGGTATCAGGGTTGACCCTGGTGCTTGCAGGTCTCCCTAAATGTGCCTGAGCTGAACTATGAAACGCTCGGTGGCAGGTCACCCAGGAGGAGGGTGGTACCATGGCTGCATACCTGTCCATCTCCAGCGAGGGAGCGTTCAGTGCTTGAAGGAAAAGGATTTAACACTGAGCACATTTGATAATTGCTTCAACAGGTTGCCCACCTGGCAAGCAGGTAACAGAGATGGTTCTTAACGATGACATGATGCCTATTTACTACACACCTGAGGAGTTACATGCTTGCCTGAAGAATGTCTCTCTGGAGAATCACCTCTCTCAGATACTGACCTATCCCTTCAGTGTTCAGCAACTAGCTGTGCTGAAGAGGAATCTGGATGAGGTAAGGCCAGGCTGAAGAATGTCAAATTATCTACAGATAAGATTGCTCAGGGACTTGTCCAGCTGAGTTTAAGTATCAAAAAGGACTAAGACTCCACCATCTCTCTGGCTCCTCTTCCAATGTTTGACCACCTTTACTGTGAAAATAAGTATTTCTTAATATCTAATCAGAATTTTCATTGCCTGCTGGCTTTTATCCTTTCACTGTACACCTCTGAGAAGAATGTGGCTCCATCCTCCCTGTAATCTCCCATTAGATAGTCGAACACAGTAATAAAATCCTCGCCTAGTCTTCTCTTCCTCAGACTAAAAAATCCACGACCCTCAGTCCCACTGCCCCACTTAGTTTGTTGTGTGCTTCTGGCCCCCCACAGCCAGCGTGGCTCTCTGCTAGGCCTGCTACTCTTTGCTAGACTTTGTCAAAATCTTTCTTGTACCGGGGAGCCCAAAACTAGACGTGCCATTCAGATGGGGACTCGCAACTGCCAGCCAAATGGAGGGGAACGATCATTTCCCCGACCTGCTGGCTGTGCTGCTGCTAGGGCAGCCCTGTATGCGATCAGCCCGCTCCAGCCTGTCTTGAGCCACTTCCCAGTGCTTCAGGCTTTGTTCCTTTCCCCCAGCTCCTGCTTGCCTGACCTATCAAGCAGAAAAAGGACAGATGTTCTCATGGGATCTCACTGACTTTGATTTCTTACTCCTGGCAGACCTTTGGGGCTTTTCCACATTCATTTTGCGAAGAGCATAAATTCATAAGTACAGGCATGATAATGAATGTTCATAGCAATAACAGTGGTCTTTCCACAGACATATCCTGATGGGTATCCTGAAAGTCTGCTCCCCAAACTGGGCCCCCTTCTTTCTTTCATCACCCCCGAAGATGTCTCCAAATGGAAGATAATTTCAGCTGACACACTGGGTGACTTGCTAAAAAATCAGCCCCCTGATTATCAGGTAGGGGTTTGGGTTTGCTTTCCTGCCTCTGTTTGCTTCCTGGATTGGGAGCTGCTGGTCTGGGACAAGCTTAGTGGGTTCGAAGATGATTGGCCCACCCTTGAGTGCCAAACAAATAGATTTGAAATGATTTGATTCTATGTTTGTAATTTTGCATTTGTTTTGAGGATGAAAACTTAAATTCTGATTCAAGTTAACTTTTGAAAAAAATTAATGCGTTTCTAGGCTTCTGCAGTGATTAAAAGATACATTGACTTGGGAAATGCCTTGAATGCCACTGCACTGAATGCAATTGGTACAAAATACGTGTGCCTTCTAAATGAGACCCAGTTGAATGCGATAGACTCCAGCAGCTTGAAGTAAGTCAAATATTGTGACGCTCTTGGCTTCTTGTAAAAGCTCTTTCCCATCAGCAACTGCATTTGCCTCTTCTCGCCACTCAGTGAAAGCAAACCCTAGGAAGCAACTTCATACCTGCTCAGTGTCCCAGTTTAAAAGCCTGCTGCTCTCCATCCTGCCAGGGAAGGCCTCGGATTTTCAATCAAGCTCTCCTTATTGCAGCTCAGCTGACAACAGATATGGTCTGCACGCCTGTTTTTATCTAGAGGCAAAAGAGAGTTAATTAAATTTAATTTAAATTCCTTTGAAAGACTGATAAATGAAATTAATTACCTACATCTTTGCAAACACATAAACTTATGCACCATCAGAGCCATCATAATTTAGAGGACCTATAATTTTGAGCAGCAGATGGAGCCATTATTTTTTTTCTCTTAGCTTCTCTCCATACCTCTTCTATCTACTGGGAAGAGGGGTTACCTGTCCTACATAGAGAATCCCAGAGTGATACAGTTCAAAATTTCTCTAGGATTAAGATAATAAAAAATTTTCTCTCCCTAAGTCTTCATTTTTCTGCAGACTGGCATCTCTGGATCCTTCAGCCTGTTCTCAGCTTACGAAGGACATCTTATATACTAAAGCAAAACGTGCTTTCTCAGACCAGCACTATTTACCTGCTTACTATGAGCTTATTGAACCATATCTAGGTATGTAAAAGAACAGTATGTTATGGGGAGAGAGAGAGATCTTAGCCAGAAGCTGAATGGATATCAAATATCATCAAAGATTTGGAGATATTCAAAGCCAAGTTGTTAAAAGTTTCGGTCTTTTCCAACTTGTAGATGGCATAAAATATTCTTGAAAGATTCTGTACCTGACTTAAAGTTGCCCAAATCAATTGTCAGACTATCACAGGGAAGATCAAACTCATGCCTTCTGGGATGGGTAAGATCTGCTAGATCCTCAAGAAATCAAGCTGCTAATGCTTAATGCTTATGCTGCAGCCCTTCTCCATGTCAGAAAACATAGATTTTTCCTTGTTAAGCCAAGAATGTATTCACAGCCTCAGCAAACTCTTCTTACCTCTCTGTCTAGCATCTGGCATTGTCACAGATTGGTTTAATGGCCAACACAATAATACCTCACAGCAAAATGAAGTAGCATCCATATATTTTGCAGTTGGAACTCACTCCGTTAGCAGCCCCAGCCTAATAAGTTTTGGAGACGTCATTATAGCTCTAGCTGATAGAGATACACAACACTGCTCACTGGAGGGCTGTCCTCCATGCTTTGACATGCTTTCTCTGTTTGGTCCCAGGGGGTGCTCCTGGTGCAGATCTCAAAGCTCTAAGCAAGGACAACGTGAACATGACAGTTGGTACTTTCCTGAAGTTAAGACGAGACTCTCTGATGGTGAGCTGAATCTTGAAATTATTTGACTCCTTGCATTCATATTATGCTGAGTAGTTGGTTTTGGCCACATTGTCCATTGGTGTGAATCGGGAGTCACTCCATCAGATTCAGAATGATGCTAGACCAGCAGAAAATGGAGAACCAGCCTGAAACCTCTTTAAAAATGTAATTGGAATCATACATGGATGCTAAGCCAGTCTTACTGGGGAATTTCTGTAGAGCAGGTTCTCATAGTAGTAGAGGCAGGAGTAGGGGACAGGCATCCTCAGGAACTGGGGCCTCCACTTGAGTGGAAGAGACTTGTCTTCAGAGGGCAACAGAAACAGACTTTGAGGAACCATCATGTTCATCCCCCTAACCTAAGGTGAGAGTGTTCCAACTGAAGCCACCCACCAGAAATTTGTCTTCCTTGTTCTTCACAGTTCTGCTGAGAGGAACCTCATCAGTTCCTTGGTCAGAGGTATTATTCCCATTCCTACATTCACATCACTAATTCTTGCTCTTTGATTTCTCCTAGAGCCTGACGCCTTCTGAGGTTCAGGACTTGCTGGGAATAAATCTTCCTGATCTGAAGAAATGGCAGAACAAGTCTCCCATCCGGGAGTGGGTTCAAATGCAGAAACAATCAGAACTGAATAAACTGAATGCTGGGCTCACTGGGGGAACACAAGAAGGTTACATCAACATTGTCACACCCAAATTTCAGTGTACGTATTATGTTAGGACCTCTGATTGTTGTGCTTTAAATGCCTATTTTTGGGTTACAGCTAGGAGGAAAAAACTGCCTGATGGAAGCCAAGTGCTTTCAGTTGTCTGTGAAAGGGAAGCGAGCACACCAAGCTCAAGCAAGCCTCGAGCAGCTCTGCCAGAGAGCTCTGGTCCTGCTCTCAGCAGTGCTTGTGCCAAAGCCCTGGAAAGTTCAGCTGGCTGCTCCTGTGCCGAGAGGGCAGGGACTGTTGATTTGGGCTACTGCAGACCCCTTCCAGTGGCACTTGTGGCTACCCATCCACCCAGCCCCGTTAAAGCACCCTGGGCAGTGCTCCCCTGCTCCCTTTGCCTCCTGGCACTGAGAGCAGCAAGTGCAGTTCTACCGAGGAGCCTTAAGCCTTGCTGAGCAAAATCTGGGTCCAATATGAGAAGCAATGCTGTAATCCCTCTGAGAGCATCCTCCCTGGCTGAACATCTCAACTGAGCGAGCGCTTCCAGAGCTTCCTCCTCTGCTGAGTGTTGGATTTGGGCTATGACTTGGTAGTGCTATTTACTGTGGTTAGAAAGCTCAAAGATCTCCCCTGGATGTGACATAAAGAGATCTCCTCCCCCACGGGGGAACGGTTCAATTGTTGGTTTCTTTGCACTCATGTCTCCTCTTTTTCCTCTAGCACCATCCTCAGCCTCTCTGGGTACTGTGGCCAGGACACTCCACCTCCTGCCTGCTCTGCTTATCACTTTCTTGATGATGTCCGTCTTGTCTTGAAAATCTTCCCTCAAGAGAAAGCAAGATGAGGGGGACCAGCCTGTGACCTGCTGAGAGGCCTGTTGGGAACAGCCACGCCTGGGGGGTGAGGGGGGTGCTCAGTGCTAGCAGGCAACTGTTGTGCAGCCCAGGGTTCACTTTTAGGTACTTTTGTCTTTCAAATCACTCAGAAAAAAAAAAAAAAAATCAGTGTTCTCTCTGAAGGGAAGATTTCCGACTCTTCAGAGCAGGTTCTTTGCCTTTTGTACAGACCAAGCCCAGGTGAGGCCCAGCCATGTTACTGCAACACAAATGATGTCGGTATTTTACGGTGCAACCCTGGTGGGTTTAAGGGTAAACACACTGGCTGTTCTGCATGTTAGTGATTACACTTCTCAAGTTGCCTGATCTCTTGACACTGCCAGGGCCTCTGAGTGGGAGTAAAGGTTTCCAGCTGATTGTAAATAAATAATGAAACTAAGTAAAAAATGCCAGAAGCAGATTGATGAGTTGCTGTTGTCTTCATTCAGACTTGCCTGCACCTTCGTGTCTGCAGGTATCAGTGCAAATTAAATGGGCAGAAACTCCAGACATGCCCGTTACTTCTCTTTGGTGTTGACTACTCAACACTAAAGAGCTGAGGTTCTCAGCTTCTTTGTGGGGAGGGTGTAAGAAATTTGTGTAAGATTTTCAACACTTGTTGCTTCCACTCATTGGGAATTTCTATCCAAAAAAGCCTCAGTGCAACCTGTATCCAGCCCCTGAAATCCCCTTTTTTCCCCAGGAGGAGAACTGATTGCAAAGACATTATAAAGGTTTATTGGCCATGCGTTACAGAAAGAGCACAGGGGAGCCTGGTCTGTCCTTCACTGCAGGCTTTGGGCTGGCAAGAGACGCTCCCCACAGCCTGTGTCCCGTGGTGCTGGGGCACTAGTGAGGGTGGGAGAGAGCCCAAGGGAAGGCAGACTGTCTCTGCATTTTTATCAGCATCAATCCCCACCCCCCCAGCAACCTTGATTTGTTTCTTTGTGCCTTGACTCACTCTCAATAAATGACACTCAAGAATCAGGCCCAGGGAGAATGAAACTATTAAGTGGAAGATCTGCAAGTTGGACAGAGAGACACTCCCTTGTAGTAGAGCTGTTGGAGGAGACACTACTTAATGAAGAAAGAGCAAAAGAAAAGTGTTTAGATTTCAACTAGCTAGAAAAACTACATTACAAAGCACTAAACGCATCAAAGAACACATTTGATTAGGAAAAAAAAATTGATCGATCGTTTATTATATAGCATTGCAACAGTAATCAAGATAAATTATCTTCAGTTAATCATCCCTCTAACTAGGCTTCGTGTAGTTTGAACAAATCTTGATCAAAAATCTCCTAAGGTGATGAAACAAGCTAAATGCAGTTTAGCGGATCTCTGAGCTGCGTTGCTGGGCCGTATTCTGCTTCTTTTGCAACGGCCAGTAACTCAAATCCCTGAGTTGCCCCACTGTTTGAACAGATCCCAGTGGGACTGTTTAGAAGTAAAATACCACTCAGTGTGAGTAAAGCTGGCAGAACCGGGCCCGCTGTCAGCATTAATGCGTTGTCAGACCAGTCCATACTGCTGATAACTCTATTACATGGAGCAGCTAGCTAGCAGGAGTAAAGCTGTTGGGCTGGAAAAAATTTCTGTCGTCCTTTCGCTGCCCAGCCGCAAAAATAGGAAGGAAATTCTGTGCGGATCTCAAACGGACAAACTCTACTCCTTTCCCAGGTTTCTGCCTTCCAGCGGGGAATTTGCCAGCACCGTTCTTTTGCAGGATGGTGAAAATCAAAAGGAGGGATGCGGCGAGTGTGGTGCTGGAGGCGGCAGGGTCAGAGAAGCGCTCGCAGCAGCGAGCTGGCCACGGTCAGTACGGGCACTAGGCAGGGGGAGAGTCTGGATCCTGATCCTAGGTGGAGAAGGCAGAGGAGAAAGAGTTGGATCATCCAAAGAGCACGCGTGAGCTGTGAGGACGGTGGAGCTGCTTTGGGATTTAGGCACGCCAGAGGATCTCTGCCTCTGTGGCATCACCGGTACCTGCGCCCCAGTTATAAATGTCGCCTGGCTGGCAGTAAGCAGCAGGACTCTTATTTTCACCAGTATAAAGCCAGCAGTAAATCTGTTTGAGTCATTAGAGCTACAGTTGTAGCTCTGTCAGGTTAAAGGACTTCAGATTTTAGGGCTTTCACGGCGATGCCTCGGCAGAAACACTGCCTGCACCCATGGAAGGCCGTACCCTTGCCTGGTGAAAAACAGTACGGTGCTTCGCGGTAGGGCTCTGACTTTTTGCAGAGAGGTTGAGGGGTGCTGTGTGCTCACAAGGCGACGAGACACCCTGAGGTGCACGTTGCCAGATTTGAGAGCGCGTGGGACCTGAAGGCAGCGTGCTCCAGGCCCGGGGGCCGTAACGCCCCGTGGAGACACGTCCCTACCTGTCCAAACCGGCACCTACGTGGGGGGGTGTGGTGCACAGCAGCACAGGGGCACCGAATCTGGCCAGGAAAGAGGAGGATCAGCTGCTGCTTGTCGGGGAAGACTTCTGCCTCGTCATCGAACCCCAAACCGTTCCCGACTCGGAGCATTCACACCTTACCAGGTTCTGGTTGCAGGTTGATGTATCCGCCGGGTGTTGGTCTCGGTGACTCCGGCACGCCTGCGGGTGTTTGTTTAGTGGTCTCGCCGACGGTGGTGGTGGAAGGGGGGTCGGGAGATGCTGGGGGGCCACTGGTCTTGCAAGCCAACGTCGTGGTCTTGACCGTTGAGGAGACGACGCTCTTTTGGGTGGAGATGGTGGAGTTGGGAATGGGGGTGGGCTTGTGGGGGGGGAGGTTCGTTCCCGTGGCGGCGGGTGCGGAGGTGGAGTTAGCGACAAGGGTGCTGGGTGGGGTGGCGGAACCCCCAGGTGCTGGGGGGTTCACGGACACCCGTGGGGTGCTGGTGTTGCGGGTGGGAACAACCGGGTTAGTGGCAAGGCTGGGGGTGGTGGCCCCGCCTGTGAGAGCAGGGGGGGGGACGGAGCCGGGGGAGGCGGCGTTGGGCGCGAGGGCGGCGGGGAGGGTGGTGGGGGGGGTGGCAGCGGGGGGGGTGGCTTCATTTGAGGTGGCAAACTGGTGGATGGAGCACGGGACGACGGGGCCGGTGGTCGGAGCGGGCCGGGCAGGGGGGGTGGCAGCGGGGCTCGGCGCAGCACTGGGGGTGTAAGCGCCTGGGGGGGTCCCGTTAGGGGGGGTCGGGCCGTGAGCGCTCGGGGTGGGGGCTTTGGGGGGGCCGGTATTTGAATTAGTGGTCGGGTGGCTGCTAATGGCTACAGGGGTGGGGACGGCGGGGAGGGTGGCCATGGGGGTGACACCGGGCGAGGTGGGGGGGGGGCGAGGGGTGGCCGTCCCCGTGGGGCCGGGCTCCTCCACCCCGCCTTGCAGACCGATTCCCAGGGTACAGTCCAGCTCCTGCTGGGACTGTCTCTTCACCCAGCGCATCACCGAGGTCTCGTTTTCAGCCTCCTTCAGGTAAGGGAGGTTTTCCCCGAGCAAATTTTTCACATCCGTGACGCTGAGTTTCTGCAACAGACGTTCAACAGCGTCTTTGTTCACCCTCGCGGCCGGCATCGCCGCAAAGTGCTTTTCTAATGGGTCTGCAGAGCAAGTAGTAACTCCCAAAAGAAAATTTTAAAAGGTAAAAGAAAAAAAATAGAGACTTGGTGAGCTGATGAGGCGCCGGCCCCAAATCCCACCACTCAGCCCTTGACTAGCCCTGCCCTTCAGCGGGGAAAAGAGCACCAGAGTGCCGGGGTTGTACCTGCAGTTCCTCGGGATTTAGGGAAAGAAAGGTCTCCACGTCCATGTTAACGCCAGCTTTAGCCAATTCTTTCAGATCCTTCGCTGGAGCTCCACCTTAAAGAAAACGCATGGGGCACCTAAACCCGTGCAAACCCTTCCAACCCTTTTGGAGGGGGTCTGGAGGCTGCTAGATGTGTCTCTAGGGTGGCTGAGGAAGAGGTATCCAGCCTCCGTCGCTGTGGGAAGGGGGGTGAAGGCTGAAACACTTACCCAGGTACGGCCAAATCCGGCAATAATACGCTCTGGTGGTGCCAGCCTGGCCAGCAAAGGCCTCCCGGGCTTTTCGGTAGAGTTGGTCCTTCTTGGTTTGAGAACAAGAAGAAATATTTAACTGTCCAGCAATCCTGGGGAGAGGGAGGGTCACAGGTTAGAGCCGGGGCACCTCCCCAAACCACAGCCAAAGCCCTTTTGCTGGCGGGGGGAGGTGAGCGGTCTGTGCCAGCCCGCAGTGCCGGTGGCTCGGGCAGGAGCTGGGAGCAGGATGCGGCCATCCTGCCGTGGAGCGGGCAGAGCCCAAAGGGAGGTGGGGGGGTCTGCCTTCCCACCCCTCGCTTCCCACCCCCCCCGACCCCACGGGCCTCACAGGACTGCAGGGCATCCCTGAAAAGTGGCTTACCTGATTTCTTCTGGAGGTACGTCATTGATCTGCCCCTCCTGCAGATTACAGAGGTGTCTTCCACCGATTTTCCGAAGCAAGGACCCGGTCAAGCTGCCCCCCAGGGCCAGGTACCTGCTGAGCAGCTCCTGGACCTGGGAAAAACAATTCATGTGGTCGCACGCAGGTGGGGAAGGAAGATGCTCCTGGTAGAAACCCGTGCGCGTTGCAAAACCGCCGCGCCGCCCTCGGGCAATGCCCTTCACCCCCAGCGGTCCCGGTTTGGGCTCACCAGCACCCGTCCCCCCGGCTGCTGCCGCCGGTTTACCTGGCGAGGCTCCCACTTGCCATCCGAGGGGTCGAGCAGGGCTGAGAGCGTGTCGCTGGATGTCACCGTCCACCGGCCGATCTCCTCGGCCGTGTACAGGCGGGACAGCAGCCCGAACACCTTCAGCTGCTTCTCTGGGATCCCCGACGGGTAAATCTGTAGGGCCAGGCCAGTGGGGCAGAAAAAGAGGGTCGGGGAAGGGAAAAGAAGGCAGAAATGGGTGCAAAGAACCAGCTTGGGTGCCTTCATCCCCGCGGCCAGCGATGCCCATCCCGCAGTGGGTCCTGCCCGTCCCGGAGCGTGCCCACGCTAACGGGGGGCTGCCTGGGGGCTGCTGCCCTGTGTCACCCATCACCTGCTCCAGCTTCTTTTTCACGACCAGGAGGTGCTCCACGGGGAGCGGCTGTTGCAGCAGAGGCCCCAGGTTTGCTTCTAAAAACTCGTTGCTCAAGCACAGGTCGAACTGCTCGCTGGTGTAGCGGATGAATAAGAGGGGGTCGAAGATGGTGCTGGAGGTGATGAGCCTGGACAGGCAGCCTGCGGGCAGGGAGGGCACATCAGGAGTTTCCTCCCTTCCCGCCTGGCCCTGGTCCTGCCACAGGGCCCAGCACCCTCAGAAAAGCCCCGGTGAACAAACAGGGAACCGCAACAACACGGCTCAAGCCATCCTGACGAGCCAGACTGCAAACGACCCCCTGGGTCCCCAACCCAGGAAGATGCTTTATTCGTTTTCATTCCTTAACGTTATTCCTGAAGAGATGGTGATGTTTCTTGCAGGACACAGGCGCTTTGTCCTGGTAAAGGCAACTAAAAGTGCCCCGCTAAGGTGGACCCTTTCTCACGTCACCCACACGAGCATCCTCTGGTCTTGCAGCATCCTCTCCTGGTGTTGCCCAGGCCCAGGAGTTTTCTCCCCTTTCCCTCGCCCTTTCCTGGCTGCTGCTGCCATATTCCTGCTCCCAGGTAAGAGCAAACACCCCCGTATGCTGTAAGAACACTTCCCCCATCTCCTCAGTTACTTTACGGGAATCCCACAGCTTTCTGCCTGGTCCTGTCCCCCTGCCTGGGGGCACCCAGATGCCAACCAGACAGGGGGGAGGAATTTTTCCCCAACAAGTGCTCTGAACTGGTCCAGATTAGAGGCGACGAAGGCAAACGCTCACCGTTTGCGCTCCTCTTCAGCCTGGGATGAGACGAAGCTGATGCTGCTGCGAAGGCCCTGAGGAGGGTCAGGGACTTCTCCCGCTGGGAACGTCCCTGGCTGCCGTACGCGGCCACGATGCTCCTGCCAAAAGCCTCCCGTGCTGCCTGCCCGGGGGAGGGGGGGGGAGGCAAGAGGCTGCTGGGTCCCGCAGCCCCAGGGCTGGCTTGGCTCGCCCCTGAGGTCTCGAGGAGGGGAACTTACCCCGGCCACCAAGCTCAGCACGGTCTGGTTCAAAGCCAGCACGAGCGGCCCCAAATTTTGCAGAGTCCGTAAATCCCAGCTCGAAGGCTCCCTGCGGCCGTCGGGAGAAGGACTGGCCTCACTATCCCCGTGGGTGCGGCGTCCCTCCTGCTTGTTGCCCGCTCCCCAGCCACCCCGCCGAATCGCAGATGACGGCTCCTTACCCGTACACCGTGCCCCCCCCAAGAAGCACGGCGTTGAGGGCGTCCCGCTGGGCCCCCGTCAGCGCTGGGCAGAGCTTCAGGTTCTCCAGGATGCCGGGATCTGAGGCCGTGATGGTCTCTGGCTCCATGTCGCATACCAGCGCCCCGAGGCTGCCGAGCTGCTCGGGGCTCAACCTGCCGCTCCTCACCCCCTGCGAGAAACAAACCAACCCTCGTCCAAACACCCAGCGAGGGGTGCGGGGGACCCCGGCCCCCCCCCCCCACCCCGGGCTCGGTCCCCACTCACCAGGCAGGCCAGTGCCCCACGCAGCAGCCCCGTCCGCCGGGCTGAGCCCCTGGGCAGCAGGTCCAGGTTCCCGCGGGAAGCCCGGGCGTAAAAATCTCCGCAGGTCCCGGCGCGCACCTCGGCCGAGCTGGGGGGAGCGAGAGTCAGCGCGGCGGGGGCGAGCGGGGTGAAGGGCTCGTCATATCTGGGCAGGAGATCTTTCGGGTTGCTTTTTGTGGGCACGGGGAAAGCGGTTTTTAAAACTGTTGCTCCCTTCTGAGCAATGAGCTGCCGAGTTGCACGGGGCCGGGGAGTCACCTCTTACCCTGGGGAGGATGTTTGGGGCACAGGATGGGGGGGGGGGTGGGGGGGTGGTTTCCCCGACCTCATGCACCCCCGTGCCATGGCCAGTGTGGCCCCAGTCTCAGGGAGGAGTGGGGTGAGGAGGGGACCAAAGGGTCTGCAGGGCTGGGAATGCCCCGTGAAGGTGTGATTTGGGGCAATACTCCTCTCCCACACAGAGCCCCTGCATGCCCCAGGGCCACGCCAGCGAGCTGCCCTTGATACTCACTCAAAGAAGAGCAGAAGGTCTGGTGGGTACCCCCCAAAATCGGCCGTCAGGTTCTTGGCAGCAAGCAGCCTGGCCAGGCAGGAGAGCTGGGCAGAGAGAGGTTTGTCTGGCCAAGGCTGAGCGGTGAAAGCCCCTTCGCCCCGGCACCCCGTGGGGTTTGCAGCCCCCACTCCTGCCCCTGCCCACCTGGGCACTGCTCAGCTCCGCTGTTTTGTTTTGCAGTCCCTGGGTGAACGCGAGGATGTCGGCAGCAGGTGGGTCGCTGGCTGGGATGCACCGGAGGAGACTTTGCAGCTCCGAGGCTGAGAGGCTGCGTTGGGGAGGCACGGTTCCATTTCGCCATCTGCTTTAGCTCCCCAACACCCCGTGGAGGATGAACCTGCTTATTCCCGTGGGAAATTCCCCTTCGCCCCGACCACGGCTTCGTGGGGTAAGTGGGAATCACATGGGGTGTCGTGAAAACGGTCCAAAATGCCAGTGCTGGGGTGGTGCTGAAGGGTGCCCAGCCCCACAGCCGGGGCGGTGGCAGAGGTGCCCACCATACCCCGGGCTTTGGGCAAAGGAGAAACCCCCAGAGCCTGGATTTCAGCTCGGGGGAGGCTCCTGCTGCATCTGCGTCAGCCCCATAAAGGAAAGGAAATTCTCAGTGTGTTTGTGCTACAACAAAAGCCGACGCAGCTGAAATCTGCACCAGAACTGGCTGTGCAAGGCTGTAAATCCTCTCCAGCCCAAGTGACCTGCCACAGCAGCCGTGACGCGGATGTGGGGAGAAATCCACCCACGCCAGTCCCACTGTCTTCCCCCCTCCGAGACCCCCCCCACTTGTCAGAGACCCCGGCTGGGGCTGGTACTTACTCAATGTGTTGCTCAGTGGCGGACAGGACGGCTCCGACGATCAGGGCAGCCTGGGGAGGAGGATGGGGGGATGCTCAGCCCCAACAAGGAACGGGAAAAAAGGGCTTTGAAACACAGGGACCGAGCGAGGAATGGGATCTGACCCGGCCGGTGCGCTGCAAACCGCAGGCAGCTGAGAACCTCAGCAGCCCCGAGGCTGCCCTGGGTCACGCGCGGGGACAAAAGCCACCCCAGCCACTCTCAGGAGTGGGGACCCTTCCCCGGAGCTGGGGCAGGGGGTTGGGTGTCTGTCAGGCTTAGGGTCCCAACCCTTGATTTGGGAGCAGGGCAGGGGGGATGCCGGGCAGCGGGTGAGCGAGGGATGGGATGGGGCCAGGGCTGCGGGCTGCACAGGGGCCGCTGGGGAGGTGATGGCTTTGCCTCCCCGGAGCCTGAGGATGCGGGGGGGGGGGGAATGGGTGGTGGGATGGGGGCGAACTCTGCTGCTCCCGGCACCAGCTGCGAGGTTTCGGCAAAGCCCTGGAGCGTTTCGGAGCCGCCGGCGGGGACTCACCGCTGCCGCTTTCACGAGGTCTGCGGAGAAACCTGCAACGGAGCGGGAGCGGGTTATAAAACATCCCCCGACCCAACGTACAGGCGGTCGGGGGCTGTTCTAAAGCAGCGCCGGGCTTAAAGTCTGGGAAGGGAAGGGAATTTTTCTTTGGCAATTTAATAATATTTAATAAATGCTGGCGAACACGACGCAGAGAGCAGCCCCCGTACTGCCCTGCAGCCTGTGCCAGCCCCCCCCCCCCCCCCCCCCGGGCAACCCGGGGTGCCTCAGGGTGCGTTTAGAAGACAAAAAAAATCACAAATCTGCCCTTGGGAATGGGTCTGTGCAGATTTCTAACCCGGCTGCATCTGGGAAAAACTCCCACTGGCTGTGGGTGCTGGCGGGGAGCACGAGGCAGGGCACAGGGAATGGCAAAGCCAAGCGGGTTGGGAATAAAAAGCAGCACAGGCTGGAGCATCCCCCTGCGCCGGGGTGGGAAGGGAGGTCCTGGGGCAGGGACAGATTTAGGGGGGGCAGGTTTAGGGGGGGACAAGGCGTAACTCACGGAGGCAGAGCGCGATGGCTGCTGGGGCTGCCCACACCATGATTCTGGGGTTGGGGCTTCGTCCTCGGCGCGGGTCAGGCCAGCACGGGGGCAAACGGGGGGGCCGTGTCCCACGCACTGGGACGGTGCTGGGGGTGGGGGGTGAGTCGATCTTGTCCTGCGGTTGATTTTCTCGCCCGACGCTGGGGCTGGAGCTGTGGGAGTTCGGCGGCTCAGCGTGCCCGCCCCGTGCTCTGCGAGCACCTGCACAAGCCCCCCCGCCTCCCCCCCTGCAAAGGGAAAGACTTAAAACCTTACATAGCAGAAAGCAGAATTTCATTCTCCATCCATAATTAAAATAAACTCTGCAATAAATTGTCCTCTCTGACGCCCAGAGCCCCGCTCCCACCTGTGCCCTGAAGGGACAGGATCCCCCTCCATCCCCTGGGACCGCACCAGCGCAGACTGGGAGAAATCCAGTGTATCCCAGTGAAGGTGAACAAGCCGCCGTTGCCCTCCCCCTGTACCCGACTCCACACCCCTCAGCTAGAAACCCCCAGGAGAAAATAAACCCCCGCTCTAGCGATGCCGCCGATGGGCTGCTCAGCGCTGCCCAGGGCAAACAGCTCCTCGCCCTGTGAACTAGATACGAATAATTTTTCCGCTAAGTCTCATTCCGTTCCCTAAATCCCACCGGTGGCTCGGCCGCCTCACTGCCCGTCCGGCGGGATTTGGCTCGGCGATGAGGATTTGGTGCTGCTCAGCCGGGGAAGGTGCTCACCCACCCGCGGTGGCTGGGGATGGGCAGTACGGGGGATGACTTGGCACTTATCTGCTGCGGGGTGGGGATGTTGCTCTGAAAATGGGGTGTGACGGGGCAATTTCTCAACAGTGTTTTGTAAAGCTGCTTTCTCTCCTGGTTTTGGTTTGTTGGTTTGGTTTCTTTGGTTTGGTTTTTGTTTTTTTTTTGTTTTTTTTTTTTTTTTTTTTTCTATCTTTGTAAAGGGTCACTTTGAACTTTGGGGTAAATGAGTTAAATCCTCTGGTTTGGTAATTTCTGTGCTCCCGATGGAGGCAAAGGTCCTCCCAGTTAGTGAATATCTTTTGAGCTATTCAGGGGTGTATTTTATTATTTTATAGGGCAACCATGGTGCAGAACAGACAAGTCCTCAGCGATGGGCTCAGCACCCCTCCGGGAGGTGCTTCCTTCACACCCTTCCTTTTTGCTTTGACCATGGACAATCCCATTCCCTTTTTTACAGTTTTCTCCCTGCAGTTTCTGACCCCGCTCTAACATCCAGCACGTGCCACGAAGGAAACCGAAACGGAAAGGATCAGAGCCTTTCCGAGACTGGGTGATGAAAATCTGGAGGAGCCCGATGCTGTGCGGCAGGAAACATTACCCGAGCGTTTATCCTGGGAAAAGGGGAAGGGTGGGAGCGGTCGGCAGCGGTCGGCTGGGCTGGCTGCCTGGCTGCACCACCCGCTCGGCTGCATTTGGGGGCATCAGCCTTTGCAAAGGGTCCCTGGACCTGCCGGCGCAGCGCTGGGTGGGCTCTGCCATCCCCCAGCACCGCAGGACGGTGGCCCCGTCCCCCCACCGAGCAACAGGTCCTGCAGCACCAGGGCTTGGTCGATACCTGCGGGTGTTTCTGGTTTCTATTTCGGAAGGATTTGCTGTAAAAAAAAAAAAATAGCTCTTGTCGGAGTGGGAAAATTACAGAAAATTATTTGCTACGAGGCTGCTGGTGGGACGCAGCCCCCGCCGCGGGCTTGCCGGCCAGAGGTGGCTGGAGCAGGAGGGCAGGGGCGCAGCCGGGCTCCTTTGTGGGTCACCGCGTCCACCCTGTCCCTGCGGAGCTTAAAACCGTCCCCAAAACAACCTCAGGAGGAGCCAGCACAGGAGCACCCACCCCAAACCTGAACACCCCGGGCAGCATCTGCCCCAGCCCCTTCCCCGGGGGCCTGGGCGGGTTGGGGGTGGGAAACGCTCCCTCCTCTTAACCAGCGGCTGCTCTGCCCTTGCCAGGTTTATAATCTTAAAAATCTCACAACCTGAAGACTACAAATAATTCCTTTGGGTGTTCGCTTACTTTTCCAGCTGCTCCAATCCAAGGAATGACCTTTGATGTACAAGATTTATATAGAAATCATGCGTGGTGGCAGCTTTCCCTATGCACCCCCTGAACACCAGCATCCCCGTGGCTGCTCCTCCATCTCCTTGTCAGGGAGAGCTGCGGTATTTCAAAATTAGGTGTTTTTCCTTCTCTCTGCTCTTTGGTTTGGGACGATCCCAGTGGTTGGTGTTGGCTGGGGCGAGTAGCAGGCAGGGACAGGCAGGGCAAGGGCCGGGGCAGCGGCATCTGCCCCAGCCACCTCGGGCATCCTCGGTCACTTGTGTCAGAGTTATTAAATCTGGGAGGGTTTGAGGGTTCGGGGGGTAGATAACCCCGGTGGTTTCGGCCAGGGGACTTTCAGCAGGGTGAGGATGAGCGCTGGTGCTCACGCAACAGGTTGGCCAGGTTGGAGTTCTGGGGTTGGTCCCGCTGTGCCGGTCTGGGCTCATTCCTGGAAGCTCCCGGCACCGGCACCGCACCGGCCACGCCGCAGCAACTGCGTGGATTGAGAGACCAGAGGGTGAACTGCGGGATACACAGATAATTGTTTACTACCGTCATGTGCAAACAAGGAATAAGGCTTATTGCAAGCTGTACAGAACCTCACGAGACACACAACGATGCAGCGAGCGGCCCCGGTGATGGCAGAGAGGGGGGAGCAGGGCCGCGGCACGGGGAGGGCGCCTGGAAAACACTTCTCTGCAGGGTAAGGAAAATATAGATTTTTCTCTCCGGTTCCTGCAGTGTTGGGTAAGAGTGCAGCGCGTGAAAGCTGATGGGGGGCTGCCTCAACGCAGACAGCGGGGCGAGCACCGGGTGCCAGCCCCCCTGCCACTGATGGTCCATCGGTCTCCCCGTGTGTGTGGGCACGGGGAGGTCCCCACATCCCACTCCCCCGGTGCCCACCGGCCCCACGGCCGCCTCGTCCCTGCATGATGGGGGGTGGGGGGGGTGTTATTCTCACAGTGGGGGAAGGGAAGGCTGCATCCCACCTTTGACACTGCAGAAATTTCTCAGGGCCTCCCGTGCACGTCACCCACATTTTGTTCTTTGGCCAACAGATTCATGGTGAGAATTTACAGCTTTGGGACCCGCCTGTGGCTGCTTCTCCCCCTCCCCGGCCACTCCTGGGAGACGGGACGGGTAAGGATGGGGCCTGGGAGGGAGGAGATGGATCCCCCACTCCCCCAAATCCGTGCACCCCCCATCCTCTCCGAGCCCTCTGCCACCAACTCACGAGCCCGCCGTCCCGCAGAGCCGAGCCCCGGGTGCCTGTCCCCCCCCCCCCCCCCCCCGGCAGCAGACAGCAGCACTTCGCACCCCGGCCACAAAAGCAGGGTGACAGCTTGGCAGTGCCCAGGGCCGGGCGATGCAAGACCCCACGGGGGTTTCAGTGTCCCACAGAGCTCCTTCACCAGCAAGGAGAGGGTTGTGCCGTTTTAGTGTGTGTGTCCCCCACCCCAGGGTAGGAATCAGCCCCGTGAACCCACTGCCAGGCCCATTTTAAATGGGACGGGGCGTGTGGGGTGACAGTAACTCCGGGCGCGCGCTGATGTGCCGAACACCCCAGGGATCTGAATGCAACGAGCCCCCTGTCCCCCCCCCAAACCCCAGCCCACGCCAGCTGCCCTGCCCTCTCCGTTTTCTAAACGTCCTCCGAGAGGACAAGCAGGGTGGGAAGGAGAGAGCGAAGCTGCTGCCGTCCAGCAAAGCGAGGCCATTTCCAGAGGAACTCTCCTTGGCTTCTCGCAGAGCCGAGCTCCTTCCCACTCTCTGTATCAGCCCTTTCCTTCTGCTTCTACCACGTCTCGCTGCTCCGGAGCCCACCCGAAGGACCTGCCCCCGGCACCCTCCAACGCTGACACCCCCGCAGCAAACCCGCCCGCGAGGAGCCACGCGATGGGACCAAAACACGATGCTTATTCCCCCTCATCTGGCTAAAGCAGAAAGGGGCTTGCGCCTTCCGAGCCGTCTCAGCAGGGGGTTATGTCCACACTGAGGATAAAAGTGGGTGCTAGGAAAAGGCAATGCAGTAGAAGGAATAATAAGATCTATTTAAAAAGCTTTGGGCTGCTATCTGACCACAGGAGTACTAAAAATACACTCATTTCCGAGACCACCCGCATTTCAGAACTGCTAAAAGACTAGATTCTTCTCGTAGAAATTTGAAAAAAGTTTAAAATCCGTCTGTATCAACTCACTCGCTTTCGAAAGACCTTTTTTAAAAAAGACAAAAAACAAAAAACCACACGACGTGGGCTGAGGCAGGAAGGAAAGCGCGTGGGCAGGGACGGGTGGGCAGCACATCCTCGGGGGCAAGCAGGGACCCCTCCTGCGCCCGTCACAGCCCAGACCCACGGGCAAAACTCCCGGGGCTGCCCTGGGAATTGTGGGGGGGGGGCTGTCGGTGTCCCCAGGCTGCACTTCAGCCTCCTGATCTCCCCCCCCCCCCCGCCCACACAACGCGTGTGCCAGTGAGCGCAGCAGGGCTGGAGCGAAGGGAATGGGAACGGGGGGACACGGATACCGAAGCTGCACCCGGAATTTTCTCCCCTCCCTTTCCCGGGCTGCGTTTGAGCATCCGAACGCTGAGGGGCTGAGGATACATCCATCATGCTGGTGGCAAAGGCCCGAGCCCCGGGACAGGGATGTAAAGCTTTGGGGTCACTCTAAGCTGGTACGTGACACACTGACTCTGCTGCTGAGGCCCAGGATTAGGAAAGGGGCATCCAGTGGCCAGACGGATGACGCGTACGTTAGAAAAGAAACCCGTCCTAATCGCTGCGAAAATCTGCCTACTCCCAGCCCCAGAAGTGAGGGAAGCCATGGCGTACAGAAAGTGCAGGTGTGGAGTCAGCGCTGGGCTCCGCGGGGACCCGCTGGGAGGAAAATGGAGCACTGGGCTGGAAATGCAGAGGCGTGGGTTTGTGCTCACTCCAAAGCCCACTCGGCCAACCACTGCTCGCAGCGGGCTCGCTGCTCCTCCGTCTCCGGGCTCTTGGCTTCGCTCAGTGCCTCTTCCCCTCCACCACCAAGCGCGGCGTCCCGGCTTTCCTCCTCTTCCCCTTTCTGCACCATCTTGTCCTTCAGCTCTTGGATGGTCTCATCCAGCCGGTGAGTGACGCGCTGGGGCACCCAGTTGCTGTCCATGGCGGTGACGAAGGGGTCGGGCGCGCAGACCTCGATGAGCTCCTTGCCGGTGGGGATGCGCAGGTAGTAGGCGTGGAGCATCATCCTATAGGGACTGCTGTCCTTCTTGTGGCTGTAGGTGAAGTCCCCCACGATGGGGTGGCCGACGGCGCTGCAGTGAACCCGGAGCTGGTGAGTCCGACCTTGGGGGGAGAGCGGGAGCGGAGGAACCGGGGACGTGGGTTACCCCTGAATCCCTCCTCGAGGGCACAGCGGTACAGCCCTTCCTAGGCTTTGTTTTTTACTATGTCACCATAGAATCACAGAATGGTTTGGGTTGGAAGGGAACTTAAAGCCCCCCCCCAGTGGCACCCCCTGCCCCGGGCAGGGACCCCTTCCCCCAGCCCAGGGGGCTCCCAGCCCCGTCCAACCTGGTCTGGAACCCTTCCAGGGAGGGGGCAGCCACAGCTGCTCTGGGCACCCTGGGCCAGCGCCTCACCCCCCGCACAGGGAAGGATTCCTGCCTTGAACCTCACCTAAATCTGCCCTCTTTCAGTGTAAAACCGTCACCCCTCTTCCCATCCCCACCCCCTGACCCAGAGTCCCTCCCCACCTTTCCTGTCCCCCCTTTAAGCCCTGGGAGGCCGCTCGAAGGGCTCCCCGGAGCCTTCTCTTCTCCAGGCTGAACCCCCCCAACTCTCTCAGCCCGGCCTCCCAGGGGAGCTGCTCCAGCCCCCCCAGCATCTCCGTGGCCTCCTCTGGCCCCGCTCAAGCAGCTCCGTGTCCTTCTGCTGTTGGGGGCCCCCGAGCTGCCCCCAGCACTGCAGGGGGGTCTCCCCAGAGCGGAGCAAAGAGGGAGAATCCCCTCCCTGGCCCTGCTGCCCCCCCTGCTCTGGCTGCAGCCCAGGGCACGGGGGGGTTCTGGGCTGCGAGCGCATGGGGCTGCCTCAAGGGCACTTTTCCCCCCACCAGCCCCCCCAGTCCCTCTCCTCGGGGCTGCTCTCCAGCCACTCCTTGCCCAGCCTCGATTAGTGCTTGGGCAGGACCTTGCACTTGGGTCAGGGCAACCCCATGCCACCACGCTGCAAGTGCAGGTCTCGTTGCAGCACCTCTCTGCCGCTGGCCCCCCCCCGGCCCCCCACTCCCACCTGTCAGCGGCTGCAGCAGCACTTTAGTTACGGGGTCTCCGCTGTAGGACCCGTGCTCGAGCACGATCAGCTCTGACTGGCAAGGCTTGGGATTTTCACAGCCTGCAACGAGATCCAGAGAGGTGGGGGGGGGTCAGCTCCCCCCTCCCCGGGTGGTCTGGGCAGCGCAGACGGGGCGCGGGGACCGCTCACCCTCCGTCCCGTCGATGCACATCATGTGGGTCATGCCCTCCGTCGTGTTCTTCCCTATGGCGTAGCGGATCGTCATGCGGCTCCGGGCGACGTGGCCCCTGACCTGCAGGGCAGAAAAAACCGTTTGCAAACCGAGCCCCGACACCCGCTCCTCTACCGACGCCGGGGAGACAAGAAGCAAAGGCCGAGCTGAAACTTAGGAAAACCAGAAGGTAAGTCCAGAAGGAGGATTTGGCAGCGTGGGCTTACCAGGGCTAGATACGCTTTAGTCACCAGCCGGTCTTTAAAACACTTGTAGGCGCTTCCCGCCGCCGCTTTGTTGAGCGCGACGCACAGGGCCCCGCTGGTGGAGAAGTCGAGCTGGTGGCAGAACCTGGGGGGGAGACGGGAGGCGGAGGAGGAGCATCCCCGGGGGCCACCCGGGCCGTGTCCCCGGCCGGCTCGGCTGGCAGGCGCGGCACAGCCCCGCTCGGTCCCCGCTCACCTGAAGCCGTAGTAGGTGTCGGGGTCGGCCAGCTCGGGGAAGCGGTACTTGAGCTGGCTCTGCAGGGTCAGCGTTTCGTACCACATCTTGCTGTCGATGCGGATGTCCCAGTGCTTGTTGACCACGATGAAATCGGAGCTCTGGTACAGGATGGAGAGGTTGTCGATGGTGCCCGGCTCCATGGCCGGCGCCCTGCGGGGAGCCTGAGGGGGAACCGGGGGGGTGAGAGGGGTGGGATGAGCCCCCGGCCGCAGCCTGTGCACCCCCGGGGATGGGCGCAGCACCCCCGGGGGGGGGGGGCAAAGGGACCCAGGGGGAGGGGGCGGGGAGCTGGACCCGGTGGTGGGGTTACCCCAGTGGGACTGGGGATGCACTGGTGCTGCAGTGGTACTGGTGCCACATCACGCGGGTCACAGAGCGACACCCATGTCACGCTGCACGGGTCCCCCAGCCTCACCGGTGTCACGGCGTGCCGGTCCCACGGCGCTACAGCCACCACCGCTCCAGCGCCAGGCTGCACGGGTCCTGCAGCCGTTCCGGTGTCACACCGCACAGCGCTGCCACCGTCCCCGCATCACGCCTGCTGGAGCCTCCGGCCCCGTCCCTGTGTCACGCGTGGAGGCCCTGCAGCCGCGCGGGGCTTAGCCGATCCAGCCCGACGGCGGGGCTCGGCCTGCCCGCCGCCCCGCCCGGTGCCAGCCGGGGCCTCGCACGGCGGAGGGGACGCGGGACACGGCGGAGGGGACGCGGGACACGGCGGAGGGGACGCGGAACACGGCGGAGGGGACGCGGGACACGGCGGAGGGGACACGGCATCACCCCCGCCCCGGGCCCGGCCCCGGCGCCTCTCCCCGGGCCCGACCCGCCGCTACATCGCACCCACCGGCTGGCGGCGCCCTGAGCCGCGCGTCGCAGCCAATCAGCGCCGCCCCCCTCCGCTTCCTCCACCCAATCACCGCCGCCGCCTCTTCCGCCCGGAGCGATTCGTCCAATCAGCAGCGGCTCCTCCGCGGCGCGGCGGCCGGAAGGGCGGGGCGGGCGGGCGGGCGGGCGGGCGCGGTGCCGGCGCGGCCCATGGCGGGCGCTGAGGAAGGTCCCGATGAGGGTTTCTACCGGCGGTTCGCGGCCGAGCTGGAGGTGCTGGCCGAACTGGGAGGTGGGCGCTGCTGCGGCGCCGTGGCCGGTACCGGAGGCGGTGGCGGAAGGACCGGGCAGGGACGCGGTCCCCACCGGTGACCGCCACCGTGTCGTCCAACGCCTTTTGCAGATGACCCGTTTCCACCCGCTGGTCCCAAAATCTCCCAGTTCCGGGGCAGGAGGCAGCCGCCGGGGGACCGGGACCCCGACCCCAGGAAGCGGGCCCGGGGGTGCAGCCCGCCCGGCTCCCCACCGCCGTCCAGTAGGTTTGACCCAAACCCTGGTGGGTCCCCAGGGGGCTGGGGACCCCCCCCCCCCCCGAGCGGCGCAAGGTGCTGCCGGAGCAGCAGCTCGGTCCCCCGCTTCTGTCAGCGATGCTTCTCTTCTTCCTCCAGCCCTGTTGTCTCCCACAGCCCCAAAACCCAAGCGACAGCGCCTGGAAGCCGTCAAGAAGCTCAACTTCAGCGCAGACGATGAGTTGGCTCCTGACGCCCTCCGAGACGCTGGCCCAGAGTCACCTTCTGCTCCCCGGGCTGACAGGTCGGCCGCCTTCAACCTTCGGTGGGGTTCAAGGGCGCTTCCCCTCGGCGCTGCTGAAGGAACCTGGTTTTCTCCAGCTCGGCCTGCCTGGAGATGAGCGGCATGGCCCCGCTGCGGACCACGCCGCCCTCCGAGAAGCAGCGGGTCCTCAAGCGACCACCCATCCTGGAGGACTACATCAACGTGACGTCCAGCGAGGGCACCAGGGTCTTCATGGTCGTGAAGGACGATCCCTCCGGGACGGGGGTGGAGGTAAGGAGGGATCTGAAGGCTGAGCTTGCACCTCCGTGGCCTCCATCCAGTTCAGGAGGGGATCTTTGATGAAGCATGAAAGGTTTGTGCCGGGCGTCGGTGGGAAGGTCGGTGTGTGTCCTCTGGTCCTCGCAGCTCCCCGAGTCCCTGGGCTGGAACGCACGCAGGCCGCTCCACTTGCTGGGTGTGCCTTTCTCCTCCCTGAAGGAACAAGTGAAGGAAGAGGTACCGCATCTTACACCGACCCTCCCGCCTTCCCCTACCCCACCCCTGGGTAGCCACAGCGTCGGCTCCCGAATCCCTGCTCCCCCCCGCCACGGGTTAGCGGGGTGTTTCTCACCCCCCCCTCTTGCTCTCTTTGTGCTCAAGCGTCGAAGGCGTGTTCTGGAGGCATCGCAGCACCTGACGGAGATAATAAATAGGTGATGTGTTGGGACAAAATCCCATTCCTATCCCTGCTGCGCTGCCGGGTGCGGCTGCCAAGGTGCTCCGGTGGAGTCCAGGTTTTGGGGACCTGCGAGCAGAGGAGCCTCTTTGCCCTCAGCATCCCTAACTTGGGAAGTCTGGGTGTAACTCCCAGCCCTGCCCTGACTCCGTGGGTGGTTTGGAGCATGTTAATTTTTTTCTTGCAGCTGCCTCGAGAGTGAGACCAGCAGCGAGAGCCCGGAGCGCAGCGGGGAAGCGGAGCCGGCAGACGAGGAGTCGTCTGAGCTGCATTTCCTCTGGGTGGACAGATTCACGCCCCGGTGCTACCTGGAGCTGCTCAGTGATGATGTGAGGTGCTAGGATAAACGGGGGGGGGGGTGGTGTTGGGCTTTGGGTGGGTTTACTGCTTCCATAACTTTTCCTCGATGCTGTGGGGCCAAGGTTTTACGGTGCTGCCTTTCGGAAGCACTGGCTGGGGGGTTCTGTCCGTGCCTGGGGACAGTCCTGCTGCCGAGGGCTCAGGGTGGGGGTTTTTCAGCTGTAGGCTCTGGACCTTCCGACAAAAGAGATTATGAAAGATGTCCAAAATAAGACAAAAGGCTGGGTGGACTCTAGCCAGGGATTGCTGGCTATTTTGATTTTTTTTTTTTTTGTGAATATTACAAGTTTTGTAGGGGCTTGAAAATTATAGAAGAGGCTGAGAAGCGCTGGGTTGAGCCGAGACAGATACAGGACAGCAGGGATGGGGCTGATGTGATGTGTCCTTGGGTGCCCTGCGGGATGGTGGCCGAGCTGGGAAGGGAAGCTGTGTTCCCATGCTGTCCCAGAGAGATGCCAGGCAGAATCCTGGGCGGCGTCTCCCGTGGCAGGGGGTGACATGCCCCCCGCTCGAGGTCTGTCTTGGCAGACACGCTGTGCGGTGCCTCCCCGGGTTCAGCTCCTTCCTCTGCAGGCCACGCTGGTTTTTAAGGCATGAAGGAGATGGCTTCCTCTGTCGTCAGCTGGATCCCTCCAAGGTCTGATGGGGTTTGCTTCTTTTCTTGCCCGACGTGCAGTACACAAACCGGTGCCTTCTGAAGTGGCTCAAGCTCTGGGACACGGTGGTGTTTGGGAAGGAGAGGGCTGTGAAGGCCAAACCCAGCACCGAAGCTCATCCTCCATTCATCCAGCCCAAGGAGCAGCAGAATAAGTGGAAAACAAAGGTCCAGCTCACAGAGGAGATTCTGGAGGCGGAGCTGGACCAGCACAAGAGACCCAAATACAAGGTGAGCAGGACGGGGCGCCGCTGCGATGGGTCTCCGCTCCTATCCCACTCACCCCGCCACCGAGGTGAGGAACGGGGCCTTCCTTTTCTCTTCTACTCCAGTACAGATCTAGGAGAAATGGGATTCCTTGTTTCTTCTTAGTGAATATGGGATTTTGTCATTTCTTCATCTGTTTGGGCTTGAGTAATGTGATAACAAGGAGAGAGGAGCAGGCTTCCTCCAGCCAGATTAAACGGGCAATTTGAGGGAAGGCCTACTCTTTTTAACAGAGGTTGGTCTTGATTTTATTTGTTCTGGGCAAACGTGACAGGCCTTTGAGCTGGAGTTTCTGCATCCAGAAAAGAGCAGCGATGCTCAAATGCTAAAGGGGGCAGAGATAACATACCCAGCCCAGCTTACCCCGACCTGTCCAGTGAGAGGATATAAAAAACGGGAAACAAAAATAGATATTAAGAGCATTGCTTCACAGGAGTGTAATTCTGGAAGAGGATTTTGTTCAGCCTACTGCCCTGCAAACTTAAACGTTTGCATGAGAGATGCTGCCGGGATGACTCTGTCACCTCTGCGAGTTTCTGTTGCGTTCTCCCTCCTCCAGTGACTTTCCCTTCAGCCTGGGTGTCTACAAACCGGCGCAGCAGCTCTCAAGGGTTGAAGCGGACTGGTTTGCAGTCCGCAGGGCCGGGCTGACCTCCACCTCCCTGCCGCAGGTAGCCCTGCTCTGTGGCCCGCCGGGCTTGGGAAAGACCACGCTGGCCCACGTCATCGCGAGGCACGCGGGGTACAACGCCGTCGAGCTGAACGCCAGGTGGGTTCTGCGGCGGCGGGTGCCGGAGGTGCCGGTGCCGACGCCGCGCCGCAGCAGCCTGCCACCGGCTTGTCTCGCAGCGACGACCGCAGCCCCGAGGTTTTCAAGACCCGCATTGAAGCTGCCACCCAGATGAAGTCGGTGCTGGGCGCCAACGAGAAGCCCAACTGCCTGATCATCGACGAGATAGACGGCGCGCCCGCGGTAAGCCCAGCCTGGATCTGGCCACCTTTTGCGTCAAACGCTTAGCAGCTCATCCGTTTTTAAGAGCGGTTTCTTGCCTCTGAACAGCAAGAATTCATCCCTCCTGTCCTTGATTTATTAATTTGGTTTTTTTTTTTTTTTTTTTTTTCCCCCCAAGGCGTCTATCAATGTGCTGCTAAACATCATCCACCGTAAGGATGCGGAGGGCGAGGCCGGGGCGGGCGCGGGCCGGAGGAGGCGCCGTGAGGGCGGGCTGCTGCTCAGACCCATCATCTGCATCTGCAACGACCAGTTAGTTCCGCTGGCGTGTCTGGGGAGGGATGGAGACCTGAGACACACCCCCCCACACACACACACACCCCGAGCAAGGAGGCGGCTGCTGTTGCCTCCAGCCAAAGCCTTCCTGTGCCTGGTTATCTGCCCTCGGACCTGCAGCTTAGAAATATAAAAAGTAAAAGTACAGCGTGCTCAGCTTTCCCGAAACCCTCCTGGTTTTGCGTCTGCTGGGGCGGCTTGTAGCTAGGTGTGAGCATACAGTTGCCCAAGCGTGCAGTGGTGCACAGGCAGCTGCTGAATAACCCGTCTCTCTTTTGAGTGGGGCATTAATAACTGGATTTCTTTGCTCAGAGACCCCTGTGCTCCCCTCTGCCAGGTACGTCCCTGCTCTCCGGCCGCTGCGGCAGCAATCCTTCCTGCTAAACTTCCCTCGGACAGCCCCATCCCGGCTCGCCCAGCGGCTCTGCGAGGTGCGGCGCGGCCAAGGGCTCCTCTCATCCCCCCCAGCACCCCCCCGGGGGCTGGTGGGGCCTCCCTGCTGACACCCCACACCCCCCTCCTGCAGATCGCCCTGCGGCAGGGCATGCGGGCGGACACGGGCGCGCTGCTGGCCCTGTGCGAGAAGACGGAGAACGACATCCGCTCCTGCATAAACACCCTGCAGGTACCGGGGTCACCGGGAGGAGGGGGGGCTCTGGGGGGACACGGGTTTGCTGCAGCTCTTGACTTGATCTGAGCTCAGATTGGGGATGGAGAGAAAAAACTGTCCCAGGCAGAGCCCTAAAATGTCCACCCTGTCCCCTGTGTTATTTTTAACCTCGATTCCCCTACAAATGAAGGAGGAGCGGGGTGCTGCCGCCTCCGGCTGTCCCCAGCACCAGCTGTTTTGGGCACCCCCCTCCCTCCCCGCTGTGCTCGTGTGTGTGTGTCCCCCCCCACCCCCTCGCTTGTGTTGCAGTTCCTGCACGGCCGAGGCCAGAAGGAGCTGAGCGTGCAGATGGTGCAGACGATGAAG